TTTTGATAATTCGGAGAGAATTCACCCGATTAGCCATATGATGCTCACTATGTGCTCTTGCGCACCGAATCCTATCAATTAAAAATGAAAACTGTTGCCAACACGAGAAAAGAAATATCTTTGATTTTATTGATACATACGTATTAGCGTTTTATATAATACTAGAAGGCTTCGCCTCCTGCTCGCTGGCGCTCGCCAACCCCAGGAACTGCTTTCGCAGTTCCTGGGGTTGGCGAGGATTGTATTACATACATTGGATGCGTATTACATACGTATGTAATACGCACGTATGAAAAAAATTCTGGTAACACTTCAATGTTCTGGCATTCAAAAGCCAGGAAAGTGACAGCCAGGCTAATGACAAATTCGCCATTATATAGCACATAACTTTACTTTAATTTAATATTTTGGTATTAAGACGTTTACATTCTGCAGAAAACAACAGGATTTCTTAAAATAACTCAGATAATTCTATGTAGTTTATGCTATTAATGAGTTCAAGAAGACAGGAAAATGACAACACAAAAACCTACTTACCTCGAAAAAAATTTTGAAATAGATTGTGAACCAGAAAATTGGTTCTTTATTCATACAACAAGACATGTTCATATAGGAGGGCATCTAATCAATCTATTAACATAAGATATTGATTGCTGGTTCTATCTATTTTAGTTATAAACCATTAAATAAAAGTAGCCAGGAAAATGACAGATTTTCTTGAGACAAACAAATTATTGACAAAAAAATTTTTTTTTAAAACGAAGTTTTTGTAAATAATACCCTTTGCTTATATTCTAGAAATGCTTACACCGGTTGAGATAAAAAAAATTAGATATTGAAAAATTTATGGGAAGTTTTGAAGCTAGTTTTTATTGGAAACATTGTTAGGGACATAACAGGAAAATAACATTTTGAAGTTCAATTAAATTTTTTAACTGTACAAAACAGTCAATGCTAGTGCAAAGTCATTTTAAAATGCTTACATCAATGCTATTTATTAATTTTCATTAAAAAAAAGTTCTTTCAGTATTATAGTATTAGATCTTGGAGCAAGGGACAGTGAATTGTTACATTTCGTGAGAATCACCCATATATGTCGGAGCCTTCTTATACTCCCCTGGTTGCGACTCCTTTGCCAGCAAAGCATCATATTCAATGGTCATGATTGACAAATGACTCATTCTTTTTTAAGTTATACTATTTCTAATTTCATTTTTTATTAATTTTATTCTGAAGAATGAAACGTGCTCCACTACATTTAGTTATTATGAGAGACAAAAAAATTCAAAGTGAAATGTCAAATGTGTCTTCGAGATAGTTGTTTTTTACTATTTTATACATCTCATCTATTCCTAATTGCTCTAACTTTTACTCCCAGGCCAAATAATGCTTGAAATGTTTTAATTATAGAGCAAGTTCTTTTTCATTTATATCGTTGACATAAAATCTTCAAAAATTATAATAACTTAACTTCATAGTTCCTTAACTCCATAGACTTTAAATTTGAAAAAGAAAATCTAACAAATCAGTTATTGGTTTATACGCCATTGAAAAAGATTTTAATTGACTAATCAATGCATCCATTACTGGGATATAAACTTAAACTATAAATATTTCGCTACCTTGTGATATTGCAACATCTGCATCCCCATAATAAAATGTTTAACGATAAATTCTTGGTGAAATACGCGTCGTCTTATATTCATATTTAAAATTACGTAAATTTTCTTTAGAAATGATTTCACAATTAGGAAACTTTTCTTGCTGTTCACTCACAAAAGCAATTAAGGATTCAATCAATTTTTGACTATCATCAAAAGGAAGACCTTTCTTAAAGTCTGATTTATTCTTGATAAAATATCACCACAAAATTCTGTCCACACAATATTTTCCAACTTCTTCAATTTCTATAGAAGACCACGGCCATCTGGTTTAGTTTTCAGAAGCTCTTCTTTGTTCTTTTCTAAAATTTGAAGAACGGACATTTTTTTCCCGAGACTTTTTTGCAGTGCCGTTACTCTGCGTCTTAATGGGAAGACTACCTAGTATCCGATAGACGATTTACGGCTAATCCAGATTCTAATCATTTTGTTAAAGTATTCCCCAGATGGGTAGCACTAGAGAAAAAAAAAGAACAAGTTTCTGTAAAAATTGGAAAGAATCCTCTAAGACGCACCCCGCGGCTTGTGCACGAATTAAGTTTAAGCTATGTGCTAAGGATGGTAAAAAAAATTGTCACGGGACATTTCTCTTTTTATTCTTGCTTGAAAACCTGAGTACTTGCCTTCCATATTTGGTGCGTCATCTTATGTTTGTCTTTGACAATCACTTATATTTATACCTTGATCATTAGGAAAAGATACAATTGTGTCAGACAAGATTTGTGCCTTTTAATTGGAATAAAATCCAAAAAGTGTTCCTCGGAAATTCAGCCATTCACATATCGGACAGGAAATGTCTGGTGTTGAATCAACACTTACTGAAAGATATTTTGCTTTCGTTAGATCTGCAATTATTTTGTTTCATACTTTGTTTACCACAATCGACTTAGCTTCGATTAATTACAAATCGAAGCTGATAAATAGGATGCATGAAGTCTAGCAAGAAAAGAGTCAAGTTTGCTCAATATTTCCATTATGTTGCGGTCCCGCAGTGAACTAATCGTTAAGACTAGGTTCCCAGCAGATCACCGAAGTCAAGCATCACTGGCTACGGTCAGTGTGCGGGTGGGTGACCACTTGGATCAGCCTGCGTAGGGTCCGAGGGTGTGTGGTATTGGTCCTCGTTAAACTGTTCTACCGTAACACGTGCAGGTCGTCGAGCTACCGAAGCGGGGGTGCCATCCCCTCAGCAGAGGATCAAAATTGTAAGGGCATGTCTTCGGATCCTCCTCAGGGATGTTTCCCAGACCGTCGCCAATAGCCCATTGTGCAGCTCTAGTGCGACGTAGATGAACAACAACAACCATTATGTCGCGATTCAATTGTTTGATCGTCTCCACAGAAAGCAATACTTCGTGATGCAAGAAACTTCATTACTTCGACAATTTTTGAAAACTTCTTTTAAATAATTGATTTGGTTGTTCATCTGATTAGTTAAAACTCTATCTATTAAACATTCTTTTTCTTGACAAGTAAATCATTGTAGCATTTTTGTGCCCAAACATAATTTCATGTTCTAAAGTGCACACATTAGAACGTTACCGATCGTTTAAGCTACTTTTAGAATTAAATGTATTCATAGTAGTTGCGAAAAGGTGGCATCAAAAACTTTATAAAACTTTAAAAGTGGCAAACTTTTTAGCCTTGAAACATACACTGGTGTAAAATTACTATTAGTGTTTTACAATTTTAAGAAAGATCACTAATTTCGTGATTGACAGTTGATATTTTTTTTATATATAATTTATAACAAATGCATTAAAATCTATACTAAAAACACTTTTAAGATTTTGCCTGACTTAATAGCTTTTGCCAAAATAAAAAAGGAATAAATAAATAAAACAAAAAACATGAAGTAGACACCAATTTAAGAAAACAATTTGAATTAAAATTATCACTTTCTAAAGGAAAACGTATTTTAAGAGTGTAACTTTAAAATTAATCGATCATATTTCATGCCATTTGAGTTCATCATTTCAACAATAATCAATAAATATGCGTAATAAATTTATGTTCACAATCAGAACTTGTGAGACGAAACTGAATAAAACTGATATAGGTGATACGTTTTGATTCTCATACTCACTAAGCACATGACCAAACTAAGTATTATAGCTGTTCTAGTTCGGAGTATAAAACTTAAAATAGGCAACATAAAACAAGAAGAAGCATGAAGAATTCAAAGAATAACAAACATAAAACATTGTTCCATTGTTGTTGACTGGCATTCAAAAGTCCCCTTTCCCAAAACTGTGTCTAGCGTGCAGTTTTTTCTATTCTAATCACCTTTTCTGCTCTTGTTATACAAGAGCGTATTGTTTCATCATCATGCTACATGTCATGATCGATAAGATGTATGCCTGAACCAATTTTTTCTTTTAATATTTCCTCTCAATCACTTTCCCATGCTAACCTTTTATTTTTTAACAAACTAGTTAGGAAAAAAATTTCATTGAGACTGTTGACTTTTCAGGGGCCCTATCGGAACTCGAGGACCTGGGCTCGGGCTCGACTGAATCTATCCTTAAAACGTCTTTTTGTATTGTAAATATTTGTGCAAATAAATTAATTGTTTTGAAATTTTATTGTATCTATTTATCACCTATGCACCTGCTTTGTTTTAATGTGGTTTGGTTTTTTTTAATCCAAGAGGACAGAAAAGTTTTCAGAGTTAAAAGTTTCCTGGTGGTTTTTTGTTTCATGGGCCTTCTTTTGACGAAAATTTCCCGTTCTGGTTATAGTTTGGATGTTCTCGCGCATCTTGATGATGTAAAAATCTTGTTCAGTGCTCAGTGGGTATAGAAAGAGTTGCAGAAGAGCTCTCTTATCATTTCGAGCTCTTTTCAAAAGCTGTTCTGTTTAAATGTCAAAGAAAGTCATTCTGTTTAAATGCTCAGTTTGACGATGTTACTCTAACATCGAATAGACAAAATGGGTTGCAGTCAGACACTTATGCTACAACCACCTCCAGAGATTTTGGCTTTTACGGAACTGGGGGTGACTGAATTTGATGCTAAATTGACACTGACTCAAATTATTGATTCCGTCCCATCAATCAATGGTATCAATATAATGTGTTTCATTTTCAAAACTATAATTTAAAAAAAATTAAGTAAAAAATCTTTTTTGACTGTTAAATATGAAAAATATTTAGAAAGAAGGAAATACTGTAGTATATTTTTATATAACTGAGAGGAAGAGAAGAGGGAAAGGGTTTAGACATGGAACCGATCTTCTCCCCAGATGGCGTATTCGAGCGTTGATCTAGACGGCAAACTAGGGTGCGTGAATTGATTGCAGCAAGACTAGCACTTTAGTAAACCCGAAGAGTATTTTGAAATGTGCAGCGCTCTTTAATAAAACTGTTAACTTGAAGAGAAATATTTCTGTAGCATAAGTTTACCTTCTTCATAGTAATTTATAATCTATGCATTACTTGCTTTGTTTATGGAAATCTGTTTCGTAATGTTTTGGTTGTGAAAATTGAAATGAACGTAGCTAGAATTTAAAATTGGTTCAGAATTTGTTGAATATCTAATTTCAAACATTTTCCAAAGAAGAAAAGTCATACAAGCATCCTTGTACCTTGTTATTGAAACTGGTTTAAAAATAAATTTGAAGAGTCATGGCTAGCGATGAAAATAGTAAAGAGACTAAAAGTAAATGCCATTTTTATTAAATAATAAATGTCAGTTTTATGTATGCATAAGGCTCGCTAGAATAACTATATTTCTGCAAATTTCAATCATATTTCTAAGAAATTATTTTAATTTCATTTTAGAAGTATTCAATTAAGTAACATATATTTTGTCTATCAAACTTTGTATTATCTGGATTGCTCATTTACATTTCTGTCGAAGTAAAGAATCCTCCTATACTTATTATTTTCCATTTTTTTTATAATATATTTTTCTGCAATAACGAGACAGCTTTCCATGATTAGTTGAATTTTCTGGTATGTGAACAAATCCATTACTTCACTGCTCTATAAACGGGAGAAAAATTTCAATTTCGTTAATATTTTGATTTATTTAGTGACTAATGTCGAAGCTGCTTATAATGAGCCCTGATTATAATTAACTAAAGCACGGAATTTACAGGAAATGTGCTATACTTGGTAAAATATTCAGACTGGTGAAGCATAGCTCTCTTTTTTAATTAGCAATCACCCGATTAAACGAGCTTTATTTTTGTGGTTCACGAAATTTCTACCGCTCCGGTACAGCTAATTCCTTCATTAAAGAAATTTCTTTAAAGTATAATTTTCTCTATCATGTCACACCAGCTACAATTGCCAAGGTGCGAAATGGATTTTAAAACAGCTACAGAGGTTTGCCTGGAAGTGCCTATTAGTCATACTCTTCGAGTTGCTCCACTTCTGTGATTTTTTTTATAGTTTGTCACAGGGCCCGCTGCCTGGAAATTGCCACGACACAGTGATTATTCTGCCATTGATCATATTACGAAAATCTTACTGTTCCAACATTCTGAGGACAACTAAAATTTAGTGGGGATATTTCCGTATAGTTATTTGTGGCAGAGTAATCGCCAAGTCTTAACTACTTCCGGTCAGTGTCCTGTAAGAGACTAAAATAACATCACAGATAGAGACCAACTCAAAAGGTAAACATCTGCATATTTTGAAGAAGAAAAAAAATTGTAAGTTTAAAATCTGCTTGGCACCTTGGTAATTGTAATTGGCGCGACAGATACAGAAAGATCACCAAATAAGTGATAATTTACAAGTTTAGGGAACCGACACTTGAACTTTTACAGTTAATAATTTAGACCATTGACATTATTTTTACCTACACAAAATTGTGGGGTTAAATAATTTTTCACCCACTTTTCTGATCATTTATATATTCTCTATAATGAAAAAGGTTTTGAACTTTAAATAAGTATAAATGAAATTTATACTATTTCTAATAAAAACATAAATCTGATGACTAGCTCTAAGTTTAGAAATAAGATAAATTGTTCCTCACTTGTAACGTAAATCAAACCTTTTTCCTGGATTAAAAGAAAAGAGACCTTTTTCAAGATTTGACTACTTCATATAGCTTTTTTTGGTATTTTGGAATTATCCTGTCGTCTTGTTAACACTCGGGAAAATGCTTAAATCCTTTGGCGCCATCATAATTAAATGCAATTTCAAAAATAAACATTCTAAACACATTAAATTTATTAAATAATAATACTAAAAAAATACATAAATGTAAAAATACGTATTAAGAAAGTATGATAAAAAGATTCAAATTAAGTAAGAACCTCTCTTTTTTTTAATAATTACACATTAAATTATTGATGAATCTAACCATAGATACATACTAAGATAAGAAAAAATTAAGTATCTGCACACACAATCCATAAGTATCAACAGGCTCATAACATAGTTTTTGAACGACAAAAAACATTGAACTATTTAATTTATTCCTGACCAAAAAAAAACAAACAAATAATATATCCATGCACATTAACACTAAGAACATTAAAGGAAGAATTATATAAATAATTAGAAAGAAAAATGAAATTCAAGAACTGCATTCATATTAACATTAAACATACAGTAACCCCTCAAAAACCAGTTATTGTATATTGTAAAGGGTTGCTATGTTTAATGTTAAGTAATTATTATTATATTAAGTAATATTAATAATTTTGCTCCTGTAATTCGTCACCGCAAATCCATATTTAACTTTTCATGTTAAACTTGCACAACAAATGAAATCGCATTAAAAGATTTCCTGCTGCCACCGTAATTGTTTATTTTCGCTGTAAAGCGGTAGTAGGTCGCATACAAGTAAACAACCTCCTTTTATCTTGCATAAATTATAATTAGGCTGTCATATACTTCTTATTTTATTTTTTTCCTTGCATGCGTTTTTTTTTTAATATTGCAAAAAATATTAAGAAGTTATCCACAGAATTGAAGAATGTATCTGCTCAAAGTGTGCGCGCGTGCATTTATATTATCTAACTATGCATGTATATTGCTATGAACCATTCCTTAATATCTTTTAAGGGACAAGCAAACAAGTTATTCTTGCGCAGTTGTCACCATATTAACTCATTTAAATACGCTAAAGAAAACTAATTTATAAAGTTAGAAGTACAATTCTAGCAGAAAACAACAAAAATTTTAGATATGTGTGTTAGCACGACAGTACTTCATCAGGGGACACACCGCCTGCTAACACACGGGAGCCTTTCTGTTGACAGTGGTGAAACCAAGAACTGTCAGTGCCCGGAAGCCCCATAGTAGAAAAACAAATAAGAAAAAGCAGTTGGAAAAATTGAAGAGTAAATGCAAAGAAAAATTAAGGACAAACAATCACTATTTAAAAGTACACAGAGTAAGTCTTAATAATGATTTAAAAGTACGCAGACTAAGACCTAATAAAGAGACGCCAACATATAAGAAAAATAAATACAGATAAAGTTGCAGTTAGAATAACCACGTCAAAATAAAATATAGATTGCCAAATCATTAAGAAAACTTTAGAAATAAATCTCAAGTGTTGACCCCTTTTTGAAAATCTTAAAAAATAAAACAAAAAACCTCATAGGCCTCAAATTTCCCCTCATAGGCCTATTTATGCGGGCTTCAATATCGGCCAAATTATTTGAACATCTTGAAACTATTTTGAATCAAAATATCATAATTACAGTAATTAATAGGAAAATTATTATTCTCTAATGTAATCCTGAAATTCCTGGTAGCTGAAACAAAATCTGTTTTATTATAACAAATAAATTGAAATCTAATAATAAGAAAACTAACTCGCGGTTTTCAAGGATTACAAATTAAATATGATAAAAACTTGTGGTTATTGGCGCATGAGCTACCTTTTGACGATAATAACGGTTTTTTCAAACAAAATCAACGAGATAATTCCAAAGTGCGAAAATGGTCAAAGGAATTACAATTTCCTCCGCACTTTTTTTTATATTTAAGTGAGTGTAATATTATTTGGACTATGTTGCTAAAGAATGTTTGTTGTTATTTTAGCCTGTTCAGATCAGAACCTAGACAATTCTTCTGTGGTGACACAAAAAGTAGAGGTATCAAAAAACAACATTGAAGAATGTTTTAAAGTTCCTGATACTGGAGGTGGTGGAGAAGATGTTTCATCAGATATGGAACTTGGTTCTGAAAGTTCTTTACAAGGTGCTAAGTTTAAAACAATATTTCATTTCATGAATTCACATTTTATTTGGGCCAACCTTTTTGTTTTCGAATCATTGTAGTTGATCTAAGTAATGCAATTCTATCAATTACAATTCACTATAAACTGCATTAACCTTACAATTTTTAAAGCAAACCAAAATAGAAGAATCTCAGTTTTTAGTTTTAAAGTTTGTGATAGTAAAAAATTTTTTTCCTGTAAGAAACTAATACTTATGTAAATACTTTTGTATTTTAAACTATTTGTATTTAAAATTTATTTTATAATATTGATCTGTGCTTAATATATATTTCCATGTCTATTAGGTAAATTTAGTATCCATATAACAGTTATTTTTACACAATGCAGATCATTTAATCTCAAATCAACCAGAAAAATAAGGATTTAGTACCCATGATCTCAGGTTTTGATGAAACTTGATTTATTCTTTTTATACAATTAAATAAAAACACAAATTTATTTCAGTTTTTCTAAAAGTGTTTTAATTTTACTTGCTGTTTAAGTTGTTGGAATTTTACAATTTCTGTTGATCATGACACTGAAACACTAATTTGCCTTTTAGTAGAAAATACATTTTTTTTCCATCAATCAATTTTCATGAAATTTTTTAAATATATACTTCAATTTGTTAAGAATCATGAAAAATGTAATTAAGCAGGTTAGTATTTATTAAACATCGTTAAGAAAAAATTCTAAAATGTATGAACTTCTTTAGTAAAATATAGTTTCTTACTAAGTGGAATATCTTCAATAGGGAAACAGATAAAAAAATTTTTATTCTTGTTTGAGAACAAGAAAATGTGTTCTGTTACATAAGAAAGTAAAACTAAAGGCTTTTGTCCCTCTTCCTTAATTCAATATTCTTATTTTTTATTCTTGAAATAAAATTTTAAAAAATTTCCCTATTTTTATTCTTAAAATAAAAGAAAATATTTCTGAGATAGTTAGAAAGTCACTATTTAAGGTGGGATTATTTTGGGATACCTGGTATTATAAGTGATTTTAAAATGAAATCTTTATTATAAAATATGAATAGCACTCAAAATTAACAAAAAATATTTTCCTAAAATTTTTTTTGAAAAGTGCAAATTAAATATTTTTAAGGATTTTTAAAAAGTTTTCTTTTTCTATTTGATATTAAGAAAGTTTGTTAGGTTCTAGAATTTTGTATTTTGAAATAATATTAAGTAATTTTAATATCTTTTGTCAGAGCTTTGATTCGTACTTGTAAAAAAATAAGTAAATGATAAAAAAAGATTTAAATAAAAAGAATTCCAATATTTTTTTTGTTTTATTTAAAAAAAAATCATAACTTTTGTTAACTCTAGTTTTAGTACACTTTCTATTTTTGTGCTTCCTATAGCTAGACTTATTTGCATATGGTGCATTATTTGCAGGTGGTGCATGTGGTTCTATGGATGAGACACCAGTTGGATCATTTGAAGAGGAGCCTAAAGAACTTGTAGATTTTAAGTTAATATTTAATAAACAGAAATTTGATATTTGTTTCCCTTTGGATGAATCCATACTGGCATTAAAGAAACATTTTGAAACTTTGATAAGTAAGATTTTGTTTTTCATTTAGTTCTTATGTGTGTTTTTTTTTTCTAAGTCTTTATGTGCCACTGTCATAATTGTTAATTACGTTTTTTAGGTGTTCCTGCCTCTATGCAAAAAGTAATGTATAAAGGTAAGCATTTATTTTTATATTCTATTTGTACTCTTTTACATTTTGTTAATATAAATTTTTGTTATTGTATTGGTATAATTTTGTTTCCATCGAAAAATTATCACTGCATACCATATTATTCAAAGATTACTGAAATTTTTTTTTTTTAAATTTTTAATTTGCATAATGATTCAGTGCTAATAAGAATTTTAATATATTCTCAAAAAAGAGGAGGAAAACTTTCTAGGCTTCTTTTGTACTTATTTATAAAGTAAGCTTCACACCTCAGTTATGAACGTATGGAAAGAGAAAACATAGTTTGATGCCAGGTTTGACATTTTGTCTGGATGATGCCCATTTCTTCCAGGAAAAACTGCAAGAAACTAAAAATTATCAATATAATTGTTTAAAAGTAAGTATAATAGAAATAGCTGGAATTTAAACAAATTATAGTCCCACAGTGGACTGTTCGTTTGAGACACGGTTCCCAGTACAACACTGAAGCCAAGCATTTCTGTAGTCAGTGTGGGGGTGGGTGACCACTTGGATCAGTCTACGAAGGGACTGAGGGTGTGCGGTATTGGTCCTCATAAAACTGTTCTACCGTAAAGGGCTCCACTTTGTGCATAGGTCATCGAGTTACTAAAGCGGGGATGCCATCAGAGGATCAAAATTATGATGGTATGTCTTCAAATCATCCTCAGGAATGTTTCTGAGACCATCGCCAATAGTCCATTGCGTAACTTTAGTGCAACGTAAATAAACTACAACAACAAATTAAAGTAACATCTTACATAACTACTTACTGAATTAATAGGGTGCCCCCACCTAACAATTTCACTCAATCGATAAATTCTTATTGTGATAGTATTTTTCAGAATAAGCAGGAGTAATTTTTCTCGGTAATAATAATACAATGAAGGAACAGTTCCAGATTATGTAGCCTAAGTCCAGATAAGGCTTAGTTAGAACTAAACTACTGGATGTCCCCTATCACAGATATGCTATTACTAGGATATTGATTGCATTATTTCAGTATAGTTATTGTGCAAAAATTTTTTGGAACTGTTAGAAAATGTTTTGTGATACTTGTTATAGAGAAGAATTGTATTAATTAGGGATAAAAAAAATATCACCCAGTAACATATTGTGATTAAATGAGCTTTTAAATAATTTCAATTAGTTCTGTGTATGGGATTTATTAATTTTGAGTGTGTGCTTTTTCACCAGGACTTTGCAAAGATGAAAAACTTTTAAGGGAAGTTGGTGTTACGAAAGGAGCTAAAGTTATGGTTGTTGGTTCTACACTCAATGATATTATTGCTGTAAATACTCCTGCAGATCAAGATGTAAAAGAAGAAAAAGCTTCAGGTATTCTTAATTGCCAACTAACCATTTGGCTTATATTATTTTCTTAACCTTTTGTTCTACTTAATTATATTTATTTGCTGAATTTCCATAAGTAATAAACATTTTAGTTATAAGGCATTGGCTCTGATGATTGTAACGATCTGCTAGAAATAAAATGGTATGGACACAGCAATTTCGGCTGTGTTTTTTATGTAAAGAATTGTAATTGTTGGAATTCAAGATTAGCTTATTTAAAGTAGAGCGAATATTTTAAAATCTTTAGCTCATTAAACAAAAATAAGTAGATATGTTATTATTAAAAAAATCTATTAAGGGGACATGTTTAGGTCCTTTTCTTGGCAAAATGTACCTCCTTTAAATAATTTTTATTGTTTAAATTTTCTATTTTTTTTTTTCATTTCAATGAAAGTAATGAGAAAAAAAAATCATTTGTTCAACAATTTTAATTACTTTTTCAGTTTTAAAGAAAAATTTTTTTTTTTTATATAATATTATAATAATCATTTTTAGTGAACGTAAAGATGAAAGTATTTATGATACATCAAATTATTCTATTGAATAAGTTTTCTCTGTTAAAACATATTTATTAAAAAACTTTGAAATTGATCGTTAACATGTCTCTGAAACTCATTAGCATATCTTAAATTCGGTCATAAGGTAATAATTCTTTGTTAAAAGTAATTTTAAACCAAACTACAAGGCATGTATAGAAAGTAACTTCTGTTTTGGAGAAACTTCGATTAAAGATATTTTCATAACAAAATTTACTTTTACATGAAACAGCATTTTAGAAACTTTTCTACATAGTTACCACCATTGTTCAGACATTTATCATAACAGAGTACCAATTTGTAAATACCCATTTCTGAGAAAGATGCTGCTATTGCTGAACGTCCAGTGCACATGATTGGGTCTGCTGAAAACATACTATTGCATATAAACGTAACAATGTGTGAGTGCCCCACCTTAATTAACTGAGAGCCTTGCCTCCACGTTACCTATTTCTGAAATTTAATGATAAACCCACATTTCATCTCCAGTTACATTTTGGTTTAGGAATTTATTGCTTTTTTCCTGTATCAGTTAAGAAAGTGCTGCGATGTTGCTTTGTTTTGTGGACACTCGTAAGTATTTTTGGAACCTAACGGAAGTGCAAAGCATCTGTTTTCATAAAAAATTTTCCTTCACTCTTGCTACCAAACCATCATCGAAAACAGTCACTAACTTTGTCATCAACATTAGTGTGTCCATCACTGAATTGTCAAATTCACTTTCTCATCAATCCATCATTCATTACATTTTCCTCCTAAACCTACTAGTTGATAATCAATTTTAGCTAGTTTTAGATTTTTTGAATGCAGAAACAATAGTCTTGAACACGTGAAAAAACACAACAGAATCCAGCTGTGTTAGTGGACAGACAATCAATATCATGCACAGAATTGTCACACTGCTGCAGTGGTGGCGGCAGTTGAATGAAATGGTACTTACTTTCTGCCTCATATAATTAGTTTATCAGACAATATTGACAGTATAACAAAGGTTTATGAGAGGTTGGATTGAGAAAGATTGTATTTTAGGATAGTTAAAAGTATTTATTATAGCATTTATTAACTTCAATATTTTTCTCATTCCTAACAATATGCTATTTTTTTTAGTTGCTGCCAAAGAGCCTCTCTGCAAGCAAAAGGTAATAATTTATTTCATAAATAAGTTTTTTTTTCTTCAAAAGTTTAAACATCAGCCAATCGAATCTAGTCTAGCCAGAAAATACAAGGTGACAGTTTGGTTTTTTAGAAAACAATGTCAATGGCATTTTAATTAGACTAAATTTGCAACTTATATTTATGTATGAGAAATTATTTAAGTAGGCTATATAAATTGCTACTATCTCCAATCATTTATCCAAATGGGCCGGGATAACCTGTATGGGCATTGGGGCCAGTGTCCAAGAGGTCGTAAGTTCGGTCACTGCTGGCCAAAGACTCCCCATGTACAAAATGGTGGCTAGTGCACATTAAATATGTCAGGGTCACAAAGTCCTCCAAGTACCCATAGCAAATCATTACCTTTGAGGGTACTGAATCAGAGATTGATCGTGCTCTGGTTCAGGTCAAAATTACTATCTGTGGATAAATGAATGGATCCTTCGTATAAAACGCACTGTGACATACGTGTGTGGCAGAGTTTGAATTCTTGTCCATGGTTGGCACCCCTCTAGCCTTATGGCTGGCATACAACAACATTCATCCAAATATTTTTTTTGTTATTATAAATTTTTAATATTCTTTTCTATCCAGAATTCTTTAGTAGTTCATTGCATTAATTTTAAATAATTTTTTTTATTTACTACTAATTTTAAAGTTTAACATTTGTCTATTAAATTTAAAGCTATGCTAAATTCTTCTGTAGCTATTATGCAAATGCAGAGATGTTTGTGCTCCGGAAAAAATCCCGATTTCCGGATTTTTCTCTTACTGCAATCCGGAAATCCAAGGTCCAGAAGTTTCTAGAAATCATCTATCACATTTATGTATAAAATTCTTGTATATTTTATTTAAAAATATTAGAACTAAAATTTATGCTTGGCATCTCTTTCATTTGGAAATATTTTTTCTGGTAGAATAATAAATGCGATTAGAGATAAAAGTAAACTATACATAATTTAACTTATACATAATTATTAATTTAAATTATGCTGCATAAAATGTATTTAGAATTTCATGTTTTGAAAATATCAATGATTTAAATTTACTAAGTTTTTGAAATGCGTCATTAATGATTTTACTCAAGAAACTTTCAGGATTTTTGAGTTAGGCTCACAATCACCCCTGCAAATGCCATGTGCCAAATAATTTAATTTTAAAGAATTGTTAAAAAAAAACAATTTTTTATGGTTTTAAAGAAATTTGTGAGAATGATATTTTCTCAAACTAGATCTCAGAAGTACCATACCTTTCTAATTGGGAAAATAAAAAAAAACATGCTATTGTATTTTTATTGAAACACAATAATGTGAATATTGTTCTTTTTACATTCAATGTTTGGGAGTGAAAGGGTAAAGTAGTTAAAATTTATTCAGATACCATCTATTTTTTTAGAAATTTTATCTTTGCTTACAAAAATATCATATGTTTAATTTGCATTTCTAACTATTTCAGATGCATAAAAAAATTATTGATCGAGGAGTTCCCGAAGATACTTTACCTGGCATTAAAAATGTGAAAGTAAGTATTTTACAAATGGAATTTATTGGAATATATATTTAGAATATTATTCTGTGAAGAGGGGGTTACCAAAGAGATCTTTGCGCAATAGTTGATTAGCATAGCGTGGTTGCCGTAATTTTGAGAAAGTATATATTTTTTTAAAAAATATTTATGTCAACTAATTTTTTCGTAAAAAAATCATTTCAGTTAAAAATATTAAATAGGATAGTATGTCGTAATATTCTTAGAATTGTTGTTTGTTTGTCTGATTTTAATGATATTGAAGGTTTTTTATTTTTGCAAAATAATGAGAGGGACCTGTGTCATTATTTAATTTTCAAAATAGAGTGAAAAATAATAAAATCAATAATGATGATAATAATAAAAAAAAAATAATCAGACTAATTGTGGATTACATATGTGAAACTTTTAAATTATAACTTTCTATAGATGTATGACAAATAATTTTCTATTTAATTAACATTATATAACAATTTCGTTATATGTTTATCAAGATATAAATGTTTTTGTTTATTAAGTAGGTAATTTATATATAAATTATAAAAAAAGAAATCAGCCAAGTGTATTTCATAATAGTTGATTTTTATGTTAGTCCTTTTTACCTTAACTAGTTTAGATTAGTCCTTTTATTGCAAATTAAATCATAAAAATAACCGCTTACTTAATGTAAGAGTATGGTAATATTAAATTCCAACTGTATTAAAATTTTATACTCACATATATTTATTTACTTTACATACATGCACAGATAATTTTTTTTTTCAAGCTAGAAGAACTAAAATTTTACTTACTCTATATAAAACTTTTTAAATCTGTTGTTTTGAAAATGTATTCAGAAAATTAATGCTAGATTCCATAAAAATTAAACTTCTCTGAAAATACTTATAAAATTTAACTAAATTAAAATGTAATGTTGTAAAGTATTGCATCCGAAAACTATCATTTGCATTATTTTTAATCTTTTTTAGAACTCTAGTCTATTGTTTACAAGACGAGCTTTTCTTTTGGAACATAATATAAATCCTTCTTTTTATATCTGTTAATTGTTTATTTAAAACAGCTAAACTTGTTTTAGCTTAAACATGTTTATTTGTAGTAATGTTTAAAAAGAATTTCAAATTGCAAAACTTTTAATTTTCTAAAGTTTGTGAGATTTCACCAAAGTATGGAGGTATCCTTGTTTTTTCAGGAGAGTTGGCAGCTAGAAAATAGGCTTCTCATTAAACATTTCTCATTATAATTTTTATTAAAATAATATGGACTGTTACAAAAATTAACAAGTATTTATTTTCTTAACAAATATAATGAAAGAATTATCGCACTCTAAGCGACCATACTCTCATTAGAATTCTAAGCATGAAAAGGGTTATATTAAATGAAGAAGTGATTGAAAACTATGTTGCTAAGTAGTTGGCAAAAGAGATTGAGAAATATTTTGGGCTTTTATGGAAAGAGAGTTTCTTTCTTGGAAGAGTTAATTTGTGCAAAATAAATTCATTAAAAAGCAATTGTGAATCAGCTTTGCCTTAACTTTTTGTATTGGTGTTATTTTTTTTAATGTGTGAATTCAATCTTGATTTGATGAATAAAATGAAATGTTTTAGGATAGTCTCCCTCCTCATCCATTGGCTGGCATGTTAAACAAATCAGGGGGTAAAGTACGATTAACATTTAAACTAGAGGTTGATCAAGTCTGGATTGGAACTAAGGGTGAGTTTCTTTTGTATTTTATAGCACGAATGTACAATTTATTTTCCCACAAAGCCTTTTCCTATTAGGGATGTAACAAATATTCGGCCACTATTCGGCCCTTTTGCCAAATATTCGGCCTAGCCGAATACTGAAGTTATTCGGCCGAATAATGAAGTATATGCTATTATTAATTATTTAGATTTGTGAAAGCCTTATTGTTGGCATCAAGATATTTAAAATATTACAAAAAATACATCAACTTGTTACATTTTTTTAAAATATAGAAAGTTTAAAAAAGCAAATTTGTTAATATTTTTCATTTTTAATTTAAAATTTGAAAATTATTTAATTACAAAATTAAAATTTCAAAAGTGAAACTTTTTAAACAGTTCATAATTTTCTGAGTTTTAATAATTTTACTGACAAAAAAGAAAGTTAAGAATACATTTAACAGTAGTAAGTAATGAGTTCTTATTTTAAATAAAATAGCATATAAATTACAAGTATAACTATAACTAAAATATGCTATTATTAATTATTTAGATTTATAAAAGCCATATTGCCTTGTTATTGGCATCAAGATATTTAAATTATTACATAAAATAAATCAAGTTGTTAAAAAATTTTTAAATATGCAAAGATTAAAAAAGCAATTTTGTTAATATTTATTTAATTTTTAATTTAAAAATTTATTTACAATCAATAGAGAAATTTTTAAAAAGTAAGTATTCGGCCACCAAATATTCGGTATTCAGCCTAAAATTTGGCCCCATCACTATTCGTTACAAAAAAAAAATTTTTTTTTTTATAGCCATTCTATAAGTTTCTGATCTAGTTCAGCTGTTCTCAGAGTATTGTAATCAGTTGCAGCCATCATATTTGCTGCATTTAGTAACTAATTTTGTCTTCTGCATTATAACTTCTCTGGGGCTAAATAATAATTGTTGCAGAACATAAAATTTAATTTTGTTCTTTGGCTCTAAGCATTGTTTATCTTGGTATAATGCTTCATTGTATCATTGCATTATATAAATTTAATTAGATAATTTTTCAATGCTGCAGTATAATTCTGTATTTAAAATTTCCAGGCAACTGAGTGATTAATTGAATCTTTTGTGTACTGAGATAGAAAACATGTGATTTAAAAGTGTAAATTTATTATTTACAAAAAAAAAAAAAAGAGAGCTCACAATCATTATAAAAACTGCTTCGTTGTTTTTAGAATATAAATAATGAATTTAACTTCTTTTTAGAACGAACTGATAAGATTCCTATGAATTCAATTAAGCATATCATTAGTGAACCCATTGAAGGTCATGAAGAATACCACATAATGGTCTGTATGTTTTTACTCCTTTTTGTACTTGCATATTTATATTTAAAAACTCTTAAGTATCAACAGCCAATCAAGCATGTTAGAAGAAATATTATATATTTGTCTTAAAATAAGTACAAACTCCATTTCATAACACTAAAAATTGACCCCCTTTTTTTTTAATGTGTGTTACATTATATTACTTATATTAAAGAATATGAATTAGAGGTAAAGTCAAAATTTCTTGTTAAAATAATTATTTGGATTATACAATTCCGTTAGAGTAAATTTATGTCAATACGGTATGCATATTTAAGTGATTAGAATTTGTATCTCAATTAACCCCTTAACAATTGGTTAATTTTCAAGAAAACGATCATAAAAGTGCCTATTTTTTTTATCTCTGAAAATTAATTAGTGCTGACATCTAGTTTAAAATAAACCAACGATCTACAATTACCTTAAAAACATCATGGTACTGCCATCTGGTGTGTAAAATGAAAAATAAAATATTTTCCAGGCAAAAAAAAAATGAATTAGTTTTATTCTTATTGGCGCGTTACTACTGAGCACTCCAGCTCGGAAATATCAGGGGAGCGAGAAATAGAGGGTGAAACCTCACCCTGTGGTTGGAAACATGAACTCTGAGATGCATGTGGACATTCTGGACAATGTTGCACTCCCAACTCTATGGCAATATTTCAGGAAGGCCCATTTCTCTTCCAGCAGGATAACTGCTCCACTCACACATCGAGGTATGCACAGACGTGCTTTGACAAAATGCATACCCTCCAACTTATGAGGACTTTGAAAATAATTCTTTCTAGTGGCAGCGAACCAAAGTAGAAATTTTTAAAGCAAATGGATCTCTCATAAAACTTTTATCAGAACTTAAGAATCTAGCCATATGGCCTGCACTTTTATAAGTAATAGTGGGCAAATTACGCTAAAATTAATTTTTTTTAAATATTAAGACATTAATTTTGCTACCGTCTGAAAAGAAGATTTCTGAAACTACGGAAATTCCGTAGCAGTTGGAGGGTATGAAAATGGGTGTTCAAAAACTGGACTGGCCTTCTCAGAGCCCTTATTCCGTAGAACACCTTTGAGAGGAATTAGAGTGTAGATTACGTAGTCAGCCAAATCAACCCTCCTCACTACAAGCACTCACTTCAGCTGTGATGAAGTAAATTCCTATTGAAAACTCATGGTAAGTCTTCCCAGACGTGCGCAGGCTGTCATCAATGCAAAAGGGGGATCCACATCATATTAATACGTGCCTCAGGACATACCACTGGGCGTCCGGATAGTGTATTTCTGCATTATATTTTAAAAATGGGTTACTTTAACTTTGCCCTGATTTTTACTCAGTAAACATGAAGGGGGGAGGCAGAAATGTCTTGGACTGTAAGTATAATTTAATTTGTACTGAAACAATTTCAGGGTTGGGGAAAAAATTGGGATACCTTTATTTCTCTAAATGATTGAATTGCATGTTTCCTTTCAGGGAATCCAATTAGGTACAACTGAAGCATCAAGATACTGGCTGTACTGGGTGCCTGCACAGTATGTTGATGCCATCAAAGATGCCATCCTTGGCAAATGGCAATACTTCTGACAATTTAGAATTCTTAACAAATTTTTACAAAAAAACCTAACTTTTTACACTGTGGATTTAGTTTTGAATGTTTTCTCTTTTTCTTTTTGTACAAAAATACCTATTTACAATTACCATGTAAATTGTTAAATAAAAATTATTGAAAAGATTATTGATAAAAGTTATTATTTCACTTATTTATTTTTAAAAAAAAATACTCTGGTTAGCAAAATAACCCTTCAAATTGTATAAGCAATGCAGCCTTGCTTGTCTTATATCTTCTTGCTTTAATAAAACAAATTGCAGAACAACCTTATTAACCATTATTCTAGCAAATTAGATGGTTCTATGCTATAGGATGCAGATATTTTGGTAGTAAAAAAATCTTAAATTAGTGGTAAACTAAACTGGAGTAAGAAATTAAGAGAATTTGCAGACTTGGTCAATGATCTCTAGAACTGATATGTACATACATTGATACAATGCTCAACAATTGTAATATGCATGATCATGCGTAACACTCATTGAAGTCAGAAAGTATGAAACACCAACTGCAGAATAAACAACAACAAAAATGGGTTAATAGGGGGTATGGTCCCCTCTTACAGATATACAAGTCTTGCAGTGTGATTTCATGCTTGAAATAAAACAGTTTATTATTTTCTGTGACAATTTCATACCTTCCGACCCCACAGAGTGTCATGCACGATCATGCTTATGTATTACAATTATTAGATGGTTATTTGTTTTGCATTATATCAAAGTATGTACATATCAAATTTCATAAAAATCGGTCCAGTAGTTCTAGAGATAATTGACGAAGTTTGGATAATCTCTTATACCAGTGTAATTCATAGTCATTAAGTAACACCATCATAACTGCAACTAAGTACCTAAAAATATGATCATTAGATGAAAAGAATTTTCTTTTTAATTCACTGTACAAGTAGAAAACAAACGAAAAGTAATATTGGTCATTCAAAGTACTTTGACAATTTCAGTCTTGGCACAACATTCATAGATTGGAGTTCTTGGAAAAGTAATTTACAAGCGTAGGGAAGACGGATAGAAGCTATGTGACCAGAGGAGTGGCAGAAATTGCACCTGCAAAGAAAAACAATCTTAGTTTAATTTGCCAAATATGTTAGTAAAATTACCTTAAAAAATGCAATCAATATTGATAATCACTATGGAACTCGCACCGTACTTTGCCAACACAATCTTGACGAAGATTGGGCAAACCGAGCATGCTCTGCAATTTAGACTGAAAGAATGCGGGAGATGTGTAGTTGTCAAGAGATTGACAAGTGATTAATTGTCACTTGAAAACTGGGACATTAATTATGAATCGAAGACATCAACTTATCTTGATGCTTTTGAATCTCGTTCAATTTATTTCAACACCAATTCTCGCATCGCGGTTCTGCTCAGCCCGTACACTGCATACAATTCTGTTAAATCTGTAGTAGCAGGTGGCACAATGAAAAAAAAAACGTGATTTATAAGAAATAGGTTTCTTCAAACTTAAGTGGAAGAAACTCTTTATAAAAAATAAATATAAAATATTAAAACAACTACTGTAAACAGTCAATAGTTGCAATGTAGTACAAAGAATTGTTATTTCCTAAAAAATTGATAAATTATTTTGAATGAATGAATTTCTTAAAAAGTACAAATTACTGTAATTCTTCAATATTTTATGTAAAGGAAAACCTTATTTAATTATTAAACTGTTAAAATTATAATTAATAATTACATTTTCTTAAAACTTCCAAATTAAACCATATACTAAAAATGATATAATTGAATGCTGTTAAGTATTCAACTGACTCTAAATAATATGATATTTAAGCTTTTAAAATTCTGTATGAAGCAAATATAAATAGTTGGAAAAATAATTTATTTAAAAAGAGTTGGGTGTGAAAAACTTTATATTTCCTGACACTATATTATATTTAATTATTTAAATGCTATATGTTGCTATAGAAAAATTTACAATAATAATAATAAGTTAAAAAGGAAAAGCGCTAAAACTAAATTTGTCTTAATTTGAACAATTTAGAAAGTTAAAAACACAAATCAAGCAAAAAAAGATTTTTTAAACATACATACATCTTTAGAAATTCTTTTTTCGCTTGATTTGTGTCTTTAACTTTCTAAATTGTTATATATGTAAATAATTTTAACTGATGAAATAACTTTTAAAAGTTTTTGCTAGATATTATAAAACAAGTTCTACTTTTAGTCAGATGCCATCTTTTGAATATAATTCTGCAGAAAAAGAAAAAAAAATTCTGCAGAAAAAGAAAACCAAAATCTTCTACTTCCCAAAAGAAAAATCTTTCTGCAAGAACTCTGAGACAATGTCGCTGTGATTCTGGCGTGGGACAAACCGCAATACCCACACTTGGGGGAAAAAAAGTTTAAAAATTATATTTACAAAAACATAAAAGATAAGTTGATTACTACACTTATATTTTATTTTTGCACAATTTACTTTTGACAATTTAATTAAACATGGTCCACATTTTTTAATTTACAGAAAGATTTTTCAAAAACATTTAGCTAAATTTGAAGTTAAAAATTCAATATACACTTAAAAATTCATTTCAATTTTTTGTTAACTTCCAATAGTTTTTTCTGCTGCAAGATAAATTTGAAATATCAAGCGATTTTTCGACATCTATTAAGAATAGATTTATATTGAATGATTGAGTAAGTGATGATCATTGATAGGCATTAAAATTTATTTGGAACTCAAACAATTTTCATTGAATTCCCTGCTACATAATTTTAACTCGAATCCTACAATTTCCTGGAGAATCGTAATTCACAGTGGCAGGAGGTGACTAAAATGTATTAAAGCTTTCAAAACTTACTAATAGAAAGTTATTCCAATATTTTTGATTTTTTTTTAAATTACAAAAATCTGTTTTAAAAAGGCAGCAATTTCATTAAAAGATGGTTTTTAGCATAGCTGCCAACTTAGATGAGAAAAAATCCAGTAGATTTTACAAATAATATAAATTTCATGACAATTGTTTCATGATGTACTAAATATTATAGTCATCAAAATAGAAAGACTGCAATATTTTTCAGTTATGATTGACATTAAATGAACTTGAAATGTCATGTATCATGTTTATTCATAATTTTGAATGGTAATAGGAATTTAATTCAGCAAATATTCGTAAAAAGATTTCTTAATTAATTTGAAAAGGGAGTTCTGAATAAAAATAAAATTAACATTTTAGAACAAAAGAAAAATTTTAAACTGATTTTTATAAATGAGGCTCGTTTCATTATGTATTAGTAATACTTATTTAAATATTCAAGCAAGCAATAATAATCTGTTCAAAAATCTCAATAGGGATTTTTTTAGAAAACTTACTCAATTTTAGGGAATTTTCTAAAATGTACAAAAACTAGGAGAATTTTTACCAAACCAGTAGACCATGATAAACTGGCAAAATCCACAGATGCCAACTGCTCCGGACACGCCAAAATAATTTTTTAAAAAAAACGGTAAATAACTACAAAGTTAATTTTTTAAATATTTGACTAGTTTTGCTTGCTTTTTAAAAGGTATAGCATAAGTACTATAAAGTGGTGAATTATATAAGCCTACGAATTATTTAGAAATAGTGGTGGATAAAAATCTACTAAATTGAATTTATTAAACCAAGAATCACAATTGATAAACTACCACTTTAAAATGTATATTTGATGTCTGGAGCAAGTTGGCATCTCTGCAAAATCCAGTAGAGTTGGCAGCTATGGCTTTAGTATTATTCTAGCAGATTTGATTTTAAAAAGCTTTATAATCTATGGATTGCATTGTCAAAAAGATGAATGAATTGTTCAAATATAAAGCCAGGTAAAAGTGACTCACCAACCAGTGTAGCCAAGTAAGCCACATTTACTGCAGACGTCAACGTCGAAGGCATCACTGGACAGCATCAAACGTTCTAAAAGAAGCATACTCGTTCCGTGCCCAATCAAGCAATCTCTTTCCATTTCCCCGAGTCTCAAACCGCCATCACGGGCTCTTCCTTCGGTCGGTTGCCTTGTCAGAACTTGTCGTGGTCCTCGGGGACGGGCGTGAATTTTGTCCACCACCATGTGTTTAAGCTTCTGATAGTATATAGGTCCAAAATATATATAGGATATAAGTGGTTCCCCAGTTATTCCTGATGTCATACAATCCTTACCCTGATAGTTAAAACCACATCTGATCAAATCTTCACCAATGTCTAGCACTTTATCACCGCCAAAGGCAGTGCCATATTTTATTTTCCCAGTCATGACACCAGCCTTCCCCGCAAGAAGTTCTATCAGTTTTCCGACAGTCATTCGAGATGGAAATCCGTGTGGGTTCATGATGAGGTCAGGACTGATACCCTGGTCACTAAAGGGCATGTCAACTTGCTCTGCAATGAGGCCAACAACACCTTTTTGTCCATGGCGACTGCTAAATTTGTCACCGACTTCGGGTCGTCTTGTTTGCCTTAAAAGTACTTTAATCAGAGAGGATGATTCACTGTCTGAAGTGATTAGGACTCGTTCAACATGGGATGGCAAGATACCTTTAACCCTATAAATTAAAACGGATTTATAATTTTTAAAGTGTAAAAAAAATGTCAAAGACAAAGCAAATCAAGCTATTATTTGTATTGTTCAATGTTACAACAGACTATAATTTTAGCAAGACATTATAACAAATTATTGTTTATTATTCATTTAAATTGTTTTATTATTCTCAAAATTTATATAGATTACAAAGTGAATAAGAGTCAAGTTTTGTTAGATTACCTAAGCATTTAATAAAAAATAATTATTTTCCATAAAGATATATACAAAAATAAAATCCTCTAATAAACATCATCTCTAATATAAAAGAAAACATTGAAATATGAATTTCTTAAACAATCCAGCTTACTTATGATTTGCTGATAAAAATTTTCTCAACTAATTTCATAATTGTATATCAAGCTAGTTCAGAGTCTTAATTGTTGGCTATAGCTAAAGCACTTAAGATGTCCTTTTTATTAGCAATGTTGAAAGATAAAATTTTCAAACAATATGTAAAATTAGCAAAGCAAAAATGTAATTTTCTACAACATTTTAACTTGTGCATGATGTTAACAGGTTCAATGAGGGTATTTTTAATAAATGACTGGTTTAACTTCTACCTTTAAAATAAAAGTCAACTATAACGAGCACATATCTTATATTTAACTAGAAACTTCACATAAGCGCTTGAAGACTTTTTCTCTGACAAAAAATAAATAAATAAATAAAAAAAAAAAGTATTAGACTGTTCAAAATAAATTTTAGTCCCTTCATAGGTGTTTAAAAGATCTCCTTTTTGTAAATTTGAAATCTTCAAAAAATATATGGAGATAAGTAATTTTATCTCTTTTTCAGCAGAGTGTTAAGATTTCAGTGAGTGTTAAGAATAGATTTTACTTTCAGTTCCTTACATGTTATTCTACAGAAACTTTTATGAATCAATGATAAACATAAAATTCCTGATTCAATTATATCTATATATAAGTTCAAAATGTACAGAAGACATGGAAAAATTATAGACTAATGAAAAATAATAATAAAAAAAATCCGAAAAATAAAAGATATAAACTTTTCATCAGCTACATGATTAAATCCGCAAAAAGTAGTGCTTTCTAATATTGTATAAATATAGAAATTAGGCATAGCCAAAGCAAAAATCAATACATTAGTGTGAGAAGCACTCAAAAAAAATTTACAACAAATAAAATAGAACACATTAAATCAAAATATCACTTAAAAACAGAAAATGAAATATAAAGAAAAAACAGAATAAAACATAAAACGAAATCTGTAAAGCGAGTAGCGAATTCAAATGAACTTACATGAATGGGAAATTTTTCAAGAATGATTTAAAATATTTTCATAACAAGATTGCCAAAAAGTGTAGTGTGTACAAGAAAAGTATCAATAATATGAAGCATTTTATTTAACCTTCAACTGTTCAGCAATAAATTTCCGCCTAAAACAAGTTTATATAACTTATGGTAAAATAATTTAAATTAGAAAAAATTCCAGCTTTTCTTAGTTTTTTCCACTATAAAAAAAATTCCATGATAATTTCAGGTTTCCTAGGTGGGTGGCCACCCTGATCATAACAAATGAAGTTCATACATTTTCCCATGTAATGTAGATAAACCATTTTATTCTATTCCATTTATATCAGGTTGAGTAAAAAGTTTTCCGCCAAAGGGAAATACCTCCGTGCCAGCAGCAGCCATTGCCGTGGTGGTTAACTTTTTTTGAAACGGGCTTTTGTATTTTAAAGCAGAAAGTTGGAACTACATGACTGTGTAATTTGTTTGTCAAAACTTTATCATCTTGTGCACCAAATTTTTTTTAAAAATGGAGCTATCACGTTAACAGATCAGACCCATTATGTACTATGAGTTCCGAAATAAACTAAGTGTAACTGAATGCCACAAGAAAATGTCTAAAAGTTTAGGTTTCAATACTGTTTCTTATGAGGATACAGTAAAAGTTTGGTTTCGAAAGTTTAATACTGGGAATTTCAACATTGAAGATGAACCACGTTTTGGCCGCCCTATTGAGGTTGATTGTGACCAGTTAAAGCAAATTATTGTTGAAGACAGAAATTTTTCAACACGAACTATTGCGTTAGAGCTTGACATTTGCCAAAAAACAATAGCAAATACTCTCAAACGCATAAATCTAACAGTTAAGTTTAACCGTTGAGTGACTCGCGAATTGACTGCGACAAGACTGAAGACAAGAGCAAGAGAAAAGCGGCCTGTTTGGTTCTGCTCAGAGATCAAAGAAAAGAGGACGTTCTGGACAGAATTGTGACCTGTGATGAAAAATGGGTATACTACAACAATACTAGCCGTAGAGGAGGGTGGTCAGCATCCGGGGAATCCGCAAGTTCGGTTGCAAGACGAACGCTAACTAACAAGAAGGTCCTTNGAAATGTTTTACATTGTAAATATAAGGAATACCTGGTAACTAAAAAATTTTGGAAATACTCAGCATAGGTCCATTATTTTGAGAAAAAAATAACAGCAGATCATTAAATTTGTGTTGGGAAATGGCATGCATTAGCAACTGTGTGTCATTGAGAGCATATTTCTGCCATATTTTTATTCGTAGTTTAGTACCATCTTATGTTTATTAAGGTATTAATTAAATTTTTATGTTTGAAACAGATTGTGTGTGGTTTGAATATAGCATGTTTTGTTCTTAAATTATCTAGAACTATTTCCTCTTACTTAAATTAAATTAATCTCTTACTTCAATTAAATTAATCTCTTAAATCAATTAAATTATTCTCTTACATCAACTGAATTCCTCTTCTTTCAATTTATTTCTGAATCTTCTAGAATGCATTAAATAAAGTAATTACCAAGGGGATCTGAATAAATACCCAATAGAGAAATCGAATATCCTCCCTCAAAGTGATCTTAAGAGACTTCAGCCTTAAATTTTAAATCATACTTAGCATCACAGAATTGACAAAATTTGATTATGGCACTTTAAATTAGACATAATAATACATTTTTAAGTTTAAAATGTCTCTTTTTAATCAATATTTTTCCCAGTATCGCACCTTTGAAATAGGTTGATTTTAATTCGAAATAATTTTATTACAATCTTAAGATTCCACTACGCTGTGTATTTGAATTTTTTTTTTCATTCTAATTTTAAATTTACTTTGATTTTAGAAATAATAAGTAATAAATATTTTATTTGTGATGAAATTAAATAATGTAACATATTATGCATACTATATATATATATATATATATATATATGTAAATAATAAAAGAGGATGGCATTTTTTAAAAATAATAAGTTCTTATAAATATTAAACACAATGTTCCCACAAACTAATATGTAACGCAAATGAAAAAAAAGAAACTTGTTTTTCTGGCAGCACAACAAACGTGATCTAACACAAAAACAGCTGATTAAAATAGGTACTGATAACATGCATACGTTACAGGTACTTCTTTATACTGCTTTTCTGCTAATTTCTCAGCATCATTAGCAATTGTACTAGTGACTGTAGGCATTTCTTTATTGACCACAACTTGTCGATTTTCAATAATTGCACCTGCAAGTCAGATTTTAATATATTATTTACAATATAAACATATTTGCAGATATACTGTGCATAAAATTAAAAAAAAAAAAAAACAGAACACTAAAATAACTTTTTATTTACTGATCACATTTTTACGTTCTAACAGATCTATCTTAACAGTTAAATATGCTAATTTATTAGTGCAGACAATATTCTAAGGAGTAAATCATACTTTTTCTAAATAAACTTACACTTTTCCTTTGACGGATTCTCAAGATATGAGCAATCAGGAGAATGTTTTGCACATAGAATGACTACAGTTTTACATAGTTTGTTCACAGAATGGTTAAATTGAACATATTGGATCCAAAACGAAGTATCTGATTCATTTAATATCTTTAAAAATTATTTTCAAAGCAGAAAATCCAATCATACAATTAAGTTATGTTCTTTATTTACATCATACTAGAGATGCACAATGGGCTATTGGCAACGGTCTGAGGATGATCAGAAGACATGCCATCGCAATTTTGATCCTCTACAGAAGAGGTGGCTTCTCTGCTTTGGTAGCCCGAAGACCAGAGCGAAGTTGGGCACTTTATGATAGAACACTTTAACGAGAACCGATACAGCACACCCTCGGTCCCTACATAGCCTGATGAAAGTGGTCACCAACCTGCTTACTGATCACAGTCAGTGATGCTTGTTCTACTGGGAACTGGGTCTTTATGATCAGTTCACTGTGGGACATAATCGAATTAAATTAAAACCTGGTAGTTTAAAACTTTTAGATATTTAGGCATAATATTTTAGGCAGCTTTTCACTAAAAATTTTGATAAAATCATGAACCTTTGAAAACTAATCATAGTTAACTTTTTGATGGCAGATAATTTTGAAAAGAACGGCTTGGTGAGCTTTTCTGCGAGCGTGAGGAAGGGAGTTCACCTTCTAGAATCATCTGATTTAGATTAAATTCTCCCAATAAAGTTGTTTTGATACAGTTTGAGATAAATTTTACCTACGGTCTCTTGAAAAAGTTTGATTTCCTTGACAAAATCTTGGATGTAGTTGACAATTTTAGTTGACAATTATTTTGATGCTGTGGCCGACATACTTTTGAGGGTTTCTGCTTTGAGAATTTTGAAATTGTCTTTGTTGAAAATTGTAATGGAGATATCTTGAGGCAATAGACTAAGTTTGACCATGGTCGTTATTTTGCCTAAGAGAGTTTTAAAAAAAATTACTGTACCATGAAGTGACCCTTTTTATTGCAGAAATTACAATGAGCAGATGCATTTTCAACATTAGTGCTGCTCATTGTCTCCAATTTATTTGATAATGACAGAAAAAAAACCACCAAAATAAACTCAAATTTGGGAGAGCGCTGAAGTAATATAAATCCAAAATTTGTCTTCAAATAAATTTATAAAAAAAATTGGAGAATTATAATTAAATTGAAATAGAAAAGTCAGAATTTTTCTTAAAATTTGTCAGAAAATTGAAAAGTTATATTCTGAGTCTTAAATGGATTTGAACATGTTACGTATCATTTCACTTATCAGGTTCTCCAATATTTTAATAATGGTATTGCATGTTTCCTTATTTTTTTCTATTTCAATTTAATTATAATTCTCCAAAACTTTTTCTAAATTTACTTGTCGAAAAATTATGAACTTATTCCAAATTTGACTTTACTTTAGCTTTTTTCCCACACTTAGATTTTTATTTAAGAACATAAATGGATTTAACAATATTAAAAATTAAAGAGATACATCTGTTTAATTCATGACATCATCAGGCATTTGAAAAAAATAAAACTGCAAATGCGGAGTCATGATAGCCGAATAAATAAATAAAAATAATGACTTCGAAAAACAATTAAAGAAACAAATTTATGTGCAGCAAATTTATTACCTGACAGTTCAAATGATGCTGTTTCAAGAGTTGAATATTTAATAATGTATAAAAATAATAATAATTTACAGTCAGTAATTTAAATTCATAAAAAGAGGATTGATAATCATACCAACAGGACAAAAAATGTTCAAATTATCTTGGAATAAGGAATAAGGAAATTTTGATAAAAGTATAACTATAAAGTCACAATATTACCTGGATATGCAATACCATCAGAATCCAAGGCCAAATGCTTCCACACAGGTTTTTTAGTTTCAGCATCTACTTTTGGTCCTAGTATACGATCTGCAGTATGTGCATACTTTTTGATTGCACACTTACTAGTTCTGTAAACTAAACATCGTCCAAAACCTGTAAGTTAATTATTGTTTATAAATAAGAGGTAACAGAAGAACAACTCTTAGATATTTATTTATTCTTCAAAAGAAGATAGTTTCTAAAGAGTTTATTTTTCTAACTGACGTGGAAAAATCAGACTTCTGAAATCATAACTTCATACTCTTTTTATAAGTATTTTCCATAAATTTAGCATGATTCTTGCGTTTATTAGCAAAACTCTTTTGGATTTAATATGTTCTTGGATTTAATATGTTGTTAAGAAAGAAGATAAGCATATACTGAGATTTTGGATGGAATTAGTAGTGAGATTTAAAAATTATTTGAATTTGTGGTTGTGTTAGATACTTTTAAAGATAATAAACATAATGACATAATAATTTCAATTTTCTGGATTTTAAGAGCTTTATAAAATATAAAATACAAACAATGAATCTAATAGAAATGCTTCAATTTTTTAGCATCAAATTTGCTACAAACTATTTGTAGACACATGGTGAGTCAAAATTCAATAAATGAAATAATGTTGAATTTTAAAATATAAATTTATCTTTCATATACTGGAATATGAATACAAATCATTTAATAATTGCTAAAAAGTAAAATAGCATCATAAAGTATAACAAGTGTTAATTGCTGCAAAATTAAGGAGCAAAGTAAATAAAAAATTGCCGAGTTTTAAAACATTACTAAAAGTCAGATAATTTAGAAAAAAAACTAAATTTAAAACAGATTTACGTTTTTATCAGATATAATACAGTTGTTTCATACAATCAGAGATGGAACAGCAGCTTAACCAAATTGGAGCAGAAAAAATATGTTTTGGAGCAAGTTAATTTTATTTTTTAGCTGAGTGGAGAAAATAATTTTTATTAGCGGAGTAGCATTGCACTTGTAGATTTGCGCATATTTAAACATGCATTTAAAATAATTAGATAAAAGAAATATAATAATATTCTTTAAAAAATCATATTATACATCAATACAGGATTCATCCTAAATGGAGTTTGTGGGACGCGTCACGTCTTTTGCTCATTCAATGAACCATTTCTGCACTGCTTTGATCTTAAATATGCGTCACAATATATTTGGGGGGGGGGAATGTTGAATTCTAACTGATTCCATAGTAATTATAGTTAATAATAGTTAGTTAATTATAGTTAGAAATAGTTTTTCTACAGTTATATATTGTTTCTTTTCAAGCCATTCCGTCATATTGAATTCAACATCCCCCCCCCCAAATATATTGTGACGCATATTTAAGATCAAAGCAGTGCAGAAATGTTATATGTACATATACGGTTTCTTAAATTCCGATATTTTTAATAAGATGTTACTACTCCATGCAAATTTTGAATAAGAGTTTTTATTTTCTTAAGCATTGAACTTGCAACAATTTTATCATAAATGCACGTCATATGAGGTTTGTTTTTCGGCAACTATATACCTTTTTTAGACTATCGTAATATAGTCCTTCAAACTTCTATAATTTAAAATTTGACATAATTAAGATATGCATATTTTGAATTTTGGTAATCACACACAATTCTTTTTAAACACTCAATTTGTGATATGCATCCTTGATTTAGATCGTTTTATTATCATTTTTCCGGTCATGTGGTTATTTGTTAATTATTTCCATTTATTCTTTAACAATTAAAAAATATTACTTTCTTTCTTTCAATACTTTATTTTATCAGAATTCATAATTTAATTCGAAAGTTAGCTTTGCTAACGACACAAGTATTCTTTATACCTCAAAGGTAAATTCGAATGAAAACTGTAAATTTTTAGTTGCACTATATTTAAAAGTAAATTTATCAAGTTATACACAGGAATTTTTTTCATTGACTCTCAGTTTTTCTCAGTGATCAGGTGTATACACACTGTATGAGGTTGAAAACTACATGCTTTTTGAGAAACAAATATTTACCCCTATCCAAGGAAGCTTTGTTTAAAACTATAGCATCTTCAATGTCGTATCCACTGTAGCTCATGACTGCAACAGTTGCGTTTTGACCAGCAGGAACATTTTCAAAATTAATTAAATCAAGCGTCTGAAACAAATGTGACAGTATTTAAAACATCTGCTTACATGAGGAATATTCATTTAGTTTAACAAATATAAGAATAATTTAATAATGAGTAATTTTTTTTATAAACAGTTTCAAAAAATATAAAGGCAGGGCTCGAAAAACCACCCGTCCGCCCGTCTTCGGCGGTCAAAAATTCCCTGCGGACAGCAAATATTTCGAATCCGACGTCCGAGCGGACGGCCATTTTCCCATTAATATTCGTGATACATTTTCAATTTTTGCTATCTTACAAGAGTCTAGCGCCTCACTTCTAAAATTACCCTCTAATCTAGAAATACAGCAACATACCGCGCTTGGTGGAATTGATGTTTTCTCTGTCTGGGAGTACTGCAGTGGTTGAAAGAGGCTTTTTCAGCAATATGCTTACAAAAAAACACATCACGTACTGGTCTTAAACAAGAAGCGTTAAACGCAATTATGAACATCCACCTAAATGGAAAACCCCTTTCAGATTTCTGTGCAGAAACCTCTGTAAATCAATGGCTTGATTGTGGAACTGGCAAACGTCATATTTGTTTCATTTAAAAAACGAAGTACCCTCGGATAAATTGACATTCCAGATAACTTGACCTTTGTCATTTAAATTATTTCATAAAAGAAATACTAGGTTTTACTATTAGTAACCTAGTATTTGTAATCCTAGTAACTACTAATTCATTGTGTAATTTATATAAATGTTTGTAACAAATAAGAGAAAATTATATTTTTATTTATTTAGAAGCTACGGGTTAGTTTCAAAGGAGGACGGGTTCATTGTTGGACAAGCCGTCCTCGGGGACGGGTAAAATTTCTGACTTTCTTCGAGCCCTGTATAAAGGATTAGGAATGATAAACTAATCAATCTAAACAAATAATGTATTTACTTTTATATTTTTATAATGAGTTCTTCCCCCCTTGCTCACTTACTCTTCCATATTTTAATTTAACCATGAAATAGCAGAATTCAAGGGAAAAATAAAAGAAATCTAATAATTTGTTGAATATCAGCAAATTTTGTACCACTTCTTCTTTTCTCCTGATTTCTGATTCTTTTGATTTGTTCTTTTCTGAGAGTAAGTTGTCGAAGAAATTTTTAATGAAATTAAGTAAAGATAGAAGTTATAATAGTCATAACTATTATCTTTATCTAACTTTTTACTGATAATAATTTCAAATACCACAGCTAGTAATATTTTGAAGGTTCAATATAATGAATTCTCTTTAATTTAAAATGTATAAATATTCAGAAAACTGATAGACACAGATAAAATTGTATAGCCTAACTTTGCAGGAAAATGCAAGATTATAACAAATTTTGAGTCAGTTTGTGCTGTAATCAGGCTTTGTAGTAGACATTCGATTTTTTTCTTTTTTTTACCAAATTTTTTTTCTTTCTGAAGCACAGTCTGAAATCTAATCAAATATTAACTTAAAAGTTCTTTTAAAAACATTTATTAGCTGCTTGTTTCTATATGAGAACATGCAAAATTATTAAACTAATTAAAATATAGCTAATAAAGAGCTCAAATACACATATATTTTTTTGAAAAATGCTAGAATTAACTGATTTTTTTAACAACTCATAAAATGAATTTTCAAAATGTTATCAAATCAATGCATGAAAAATTGAAAGACATAGTTTTGATTTTTTTTTAAAAAGAAAAAAAAACACAAGATTTTTTGTTTTAGGTAATTAGGCCATATGAAAAAACAGACATAAACTTACATGACTCTTAACCATAGGTCGTTGTGGATAAACAAGATTGTACATTAGAGTATCCATCCTGTTCTTCTGATTCCATCCAATAGTACCTACAAAAAGACCAAAGCTCATTAGAAGAGTGTGCCAATTTGCATTAAGAGGGTATTTCAAGCATCAAATTTTATTTTCACGCTTCAAAAATATTACTGGGGTTCATTAATAGTAATAATAATAAAGATTTTGTTAAAATGTATTATTATTATGAATGAAGATGATCAAAACGAGATCTGGGTGCGTAGCCAGATTCAACAAGAAATAAGCACCTTATAAGTGCTTTTTAAGCACTCAAAAAATATTTTTTATCACTTTCCAATATATATATATATATATATAATTAGGATCTGTGTAGTAATGAAAATTTATGAACATAAAATCCATGAAAGTCAAAAACTTTACATAATCATAATAATCATGATTTCTCTTAACAGTGCATAACAGTGTGTGCATACATTAGACAACTATTTATAAGTACAATTAACCTGATGCAGTAAATGCACCCTAATCCCCTAATATAAGTAAGTTTTCTTTAAATACAATATATTTTTTTTAATAAAAAGACAGAGATTTAAAAATTGCTTTACATTTTAATTATATTTTCGATAATTCAAGTTTTCAAAAGTTCGAGTCAGGCTCAGTCCCATCCACCTTGAATTATCGAGACTCCATTGCATTTTAAATTGCTGTAAACAATTTCAATTCATATGCGAAAACCCTATAGAGAAATAATACTTACCCATTGCTTGCTTACCCATAGCACATTGATATGTGTTTCTTGGAGACTGATTGTGATGAGGATAGGGAATCAAACCAGCACAAACACCTAATATAGTATACGGTTCAATCTCTAAATGAGTGGTTTCTCTGTCAAAAATAAAAACTTTCATTAAAATGTTATTTCAGAGAACATAAAGGATGATCAAACACACTCTAAAAAATTATTTTATTTCCTAACCGGCGTTGTACAGTCGACCAAATTTTTTGAGTTTACAACTACTATTGCTCAACTCCGTAGTTTGTAATTTTGACCCCAACCCAGAAGACAAGAGAACTTGTGGATCAAGTATTGGGCGAAATTTGCTTTCGTGGAGGACTTATTGACGGAAATAACCAGCATTTGTGTTACATGAAGAGGAAAACCTCCCACAGTTAGCTTGACAGCAAGGAGACTCTAACCCATGATCAGTCTTCCACTGAGGATATTTTACGTCAACACTGTGGTCGGTGGAAGGGGAGATGCAGAATTCGTATCGACCAGTCATCACTGGGATTCAAAGCTGGTTCAACTCATTGGAATATGAGCGTTCTATCCCCTGAGCCATGACTGCTCTCTAAAGTATACTTGTTTTTGTAGTTCTTATAGCCAGTAATTGTATATAGATCAGCAAGAGAGGGGATGAATTTATTTTAATCCGCATTTGCGTTACATTGAGGGGAAAACAACAATTCTTGGATTATACACAGATGAGCTTGCATTATCATATTCTATGTCTTCAAGTTTGGGAATTAAGGATTTCTGGTAAAATTTGTTACTGGTAAGGATTTATAATCACAATAAATTTTAAAACTTTTTTTTCACCATAAACTACAGCTCTTTTTTTTAATTACATTATATTATTGTAGTGTATTTTACATTTTTTAATTTAGAAAAAGTATTGCAAGTAAGTTTTTTAAAGTTTCTCTTTGTTTTTGAGTAGCATTAAAACTTTGAAAGAAAGTAAATTATACTTACTGTGGTCATACTCAATTGGTTGTATGAAACATGCCATGACAGATGGAGTTCACAATTTAAATAAAAAGTTAGAAAGCAAAATGAATTTTTTAAAGATATGCATGTTAGCATAAACAGCAGTTCGTCAAGGGACACCCTGTCTACTAACACACTGGAGCCTTTCTGCAGTCGGTAGTTAAACCAAAAGCTGACTGTGCCCCTATCACAGTCTTACTCTTCACTATTTACCTACAAACCATTTTTGAAGACTTAGAGTTAAATGCGGATTTTGAAACTCTTTAGAAAGAAATGAAATTTGAACAAAATATTAGATGCTATTTACCACAGACCTTCAACAAATTAATTGCCACGAAGTGTATGATACATTGTTTATTAAATCCTATTTATGCTAGAACCAGCACAGTTTTGCAGTGGGTTTTTTAACATTTAATTAACCCATTTGTAAAAATTTCCTCGTTATACATGGGATTTCATTAAATCAGAGCTTGCATTAACCCATTTTAAGCCAAGCATAGAAATTTTTATATTATGAGGTATTAATTTCATTGAAATATGCTTACATTACATTCATAAAAACACAATAAAATTCTATGTATGAAAAATTACATTTTATTTAAGAAATAAAATGGCGCATAGGGACACCACTCACCAAATCAATGAACAAACCATTTAGTTATACAATTGTTTTTTCATGAACTTTTTGTTATTTTATATTTTTTCATTTATTTCTTTATTTACTGACTTGCAACTTTAATCCATCATAAGAACATATGATAAATCTCAAAAGAAATAATTACAGATTTTCAAAAAATTTCATTTGCCAATAACCACTTTAAGTTTTAAAAAAAACTTGAATAGTTTAAAAATTTCTCGATAGAAAGTGTTTACTCCAACTGAATTATTAATAATTTATGGATGTCTTCAGAACCCTTGACAATAGTAGAAAAATAAAATTAGTGAAAAATATATGTCACAATGTTAATGAAAGAATAGTTTTTGAGCGCACCTTTGGCCGAAAATGGGTTAACCGAATAATTGTACTCGTGTATGGAAGTAGAAATGATAAGAGAAATAAATACTTCTTAATGTCCTTTTCATAGACAGCAATAAGACAATCGTTTTCTTCATTGACATCCAAGAATTCTATGAGTCCATCTTTTAAGAAATCGTTAAAAGATCTGATTCCATTTTTGAATTCATCCATGTGTTCATCAGTTACTTTAGGCTTTCTATTTTCTACAATAATATAAGGCCTGCAAAAAGAAATGATGAACGCTTAAATATCATATGGCATATCCTCTCACACAAGAATTAAGTGAAAAAAATGTTATTTATAAGATTCATCAACTTTTGTTTAGGGAGCATAGAGAAGAGCATCGGCAATTATTATTTAACATTGACAAGAAGACATAATTTTGGCACAATTTTGAAAGTACTGTACTCTTAACATTTGAATTTGTAGACCTTTAATGTTTTAACTAGAGCATTTTATAAGGACTAAGCTTGTTTGTTTAAATAAAATTTAATTTTTCAATTAATTTTAATTTTTTGCAGTTCTTTTCATCATACAAGCGTAGCTCTACAATTCATGTCTTACCGCTAAAACTTCTGGACCTTAAGTAGGATACTATTTTGTGCTCTGTTCTTTGCACTTAAGAAAGATCTTTGCATTTCACATAAAAGGGTGTAGTTTTTTTAAGAACATTTAAGGTTCTTTATTGAAAGAATTACTCTAAGGAATCGGTTATAGAGAGTGCATAATTCTTGCAAAATGAAAATTTTGCATATTATAATAATATTGAATTAAAATCATCCAAATTTTAATAACTGTGTGTTAAAATTAGTGGCTGGAACTGCTGAAAGATAGATCTACAAAACAATGTCAATTTACATGAAATCGTCTCAAATTAAATGTGTCTAAAATTTATAACTTAATTGCACAATTTGAAATTCCTCAATAGTAATGATATTGCAATCAAAACATTACGATTAATTAAACCGATTAATACTGGTAAAACATAACTGGTAAAACATTAATACTGGTAACTATAAAAGAATGTATGAATGAAGGATAAAGTCTATAGATGGCTTTTGATCCATTTATGTAGGCTCTGACCTATAAGGCGGTCACCCTATAAAAGAAGCAAAGCCAGCAAAATGGTTTGTTCCTAATTTGAATTTGTGTGTAAGGTCTTACAAATATTACTAATGTGAACGTTTTATACATTTTTTGAGTGAACTTACAATTCAAATACTATTCTTTATTGATATTCATGAACTTCATTTCCTCTTATGGTTTTTTGTTATTTAAATTTTCAAACATTATTATGCTTAAAGTGTGTTTTTCCAAAAAGGTCGCAGCACTATAAATTAATCTGCAATTTTTTACGTATTATTTCATACAATAAAGATAAAAGCATATGCATTATTTTTTTTAAGCAATTTCGGTCAACTTTTAGATTAGCCAATCTATTCTTAACTCATTTTTTGTCTTATTTTACTTTATAATAAAAGAAAAACTGAAGCAGAATATAATCTTATTTACTATTACAATATTTTTTTATTTTTCAAGGCAAGGTTTTACAAAGAGTAATTTTTACCTTAGAATATTTATTCTTTATTTCAAAATGTCTCTGTCATAAAGGAATGCATCCTGAGGAGAGCCTCTATGTTTATTACATCAAGTTTTTATTGTACTTTGAATACTATTGTTTCAACATATATATATACATGCACAACTACATACATGTTTTAAGTAATTATCCAATTATTTTTTTCTGAATTTTATCCACAGAAATAATTAAATATATGCCTTTGGAAGAGAAACAGAGCATAAAAGAGAAAGAAAAAGGCTTAAAAATAATACTTTGTAAACTGTAATTACCACACACAAAGAAAAAATTTCTTTTTTAAAGGAAATTTGCAAATTAAAAATGTAAACAGAAAAAGATTATTAAAAAAGAGCATTGATTTTAATATTTGTAAAATTAGGTAATACTATTTAGAAAATACCACGAATTTTTTTTTATTGAAATGCACAAAGTAATAATATAACAACGCACTGAGGAAGGAAATATCAAGAACCAAATTTCTTTATTTAATAAAATTCTTATAAATAATTGTAATTAAAACAATTAAGTTTCAAATTTTAAAAAAAAACAACGTTCTGAAAATGAATCTTACCTACAGAGTCTTCCACCATCAGTAGCAATATAAACACATCGTTGAGTATGATGAGGAGAAATCGATATAAACTCATGTATGTAACCAGCTCGTCGAAGTTTTCGAAAAGCATAAACTAGTTGCTTGTATTTCTTTTTTACTCCAATTAGATTTCCTGAAATGAAAATTCAGAATCCAAAATTAAAATGTTTCCTTAATAAAATTATGTAACACAGATAAAATTTTACAGATCAAGAAGTTTAGGTTTTGTTTCATAGAAAAGCACATAGCTTCATTTTTAGGACAATATTTTTTAACACCAAGGCAGGTATGCCACCTAAGTTTGACCTCAGTCAAATAATGCTAGCAGCGACTGAGCTTTTGACCCTCCCTAAACATCCACACAACACAAGAAGGCAATAAACACAATATATCAGTTAAGAATACATAATAACACTGATTTATAAAACACTTTAATTAAACTTGAAATGCATGAAAAGATGAAAGTTTTATACAGTAATACAAAATCTCTATCACTCCTTTAAGTATCTGCTATCGAGCAACTGAACACACATAGCAACTAGTTGGTTCTAAAAATCTTATGAATTTTTGGGAGATTTTTAAAAAATTTTCTTATGAGGAGAAAGAAATTTTTTTTTTGTTCTCCAGGTTATCTGCAAAAATTTTCATTTTCCTTGATTTTTTAAACGAAGTTCACATTTCTGGAAAGTTTCAGATTCTGCTGGAGGCATTTGGAATCCTGAAAAATTGCTATTTTGTTCTGATATTAAATTTAATTGTTTGTAAATCAAACAATTTTCCCCATGTAATAGAAATTGTGTCATTTTTATTTATTAAGTATAATTTATAATAGCTATTCAATTATAGTGTTTATTCATATAGAATTCAGACATTTCAATGTTACAGGGATGAGATTAGCCAAAAGGCAAAAAAGCTGAATTTCCACGATAGTAAATTTTACGCAAGCGCAACCCTTTAATAATAAATTCCAGACAGTTTAAGGTAATAAATAATGTGTTGACATACAATTGTGTACTAATCTATTATTATATAAATGATTACATTGATACTTAACATTTAGTGAAAATAAAAATTACCAATTGAAAAAATAAAGCTGGAAATTATATTTTTCCTCAGTTTACATAAGAGACAATTATTACTTGAAAAACTACCTGGTTTAGCAAATTAAAACTACTGAGAATATACATTAATATTTCATTTCTTTTAATAAATACTGTTATGTGATTTATAGCAAATATATCAGTAATATTACTTTTTAAATTATATTGGAAAAAAAAACTTTAACAATGGACCGAATCATTATGTTCATATTATAGTCTAATCTAACTAGAGCCCTCTGAAACATATCAATAACAGTGAAGTAGAAATATATAGTAACTCCTTAACATACAAAAATTGCTATTTTAGTTTGAAAAATTACATGACAATCAGCAACTGTTTAGATAATTGTTTTTTATTTGATAAGAATTTTGCATTTTATAGCATAAATAACAGCAATTATAAATAAAATTTTGATGATGAGTTAATTAACTCTTTTTCCCCCAAAATTTTTTTTTAATTAAATCCCTTTTTAAGTGATTGCTTTTGTTTGCTATATCTTTTATGTTTGCTATATTTAGTCGTTAGTCCATCTTCAAACATCTTGTGACAAATCCTATTTTTTCTTCTTTGCAAGCACAGAATGTAAGTTTTGAATATATTCCCTTCCAGTTTCTCTGATGTTGTAACACTTACATATACTAATAATCGTCGTTAGAAAAACAGTCACCTTTATAGTAACTATTTTAAAAAAAATTTACTTCTTACAAGAATCGCGATAGTTGATCTTAAAATTGCGTGAATATGAATAACAATTATGGATTTTGAAATCACATGAATATGAAACTAGATATACGATTTTGAAAATGAGAAAATACAAACTGGGATATAGAATTTTTAAAACGCGTAAATACAAATCACGATTCATAATTTTTAGATCGCGTAAATACGAATCATGATGCGTAATTTTTAGATTGCATAAATAAGAATCATGATGCATAATTTTTAGAGTGCGTGAATGCGATCCCAATGCCTTATTTTAAAATCACGCATAAATACGAAAATCAATGTTTGAAATTATAAACCGCATGAGCAAATCAAGACATTGAATTTTAAACTTGCGTGAATACGAATCGCTACAAAGGTTTTTAAAAAGGCGTAAATACGAATCACAATATCGGATTTTTAAATCTCGTAAATAAGAATCGCAACGTACAATATTCAAATCGCGTGAATAAGAATCGCAACACGCAAATATTAAAAGCTATGTTTGATATTAAAATCGTGTGAATAAGTATCGAGATATTAGCAGATTCCAGGCTTGAGACCTCTAAAAGGCTTGTCAGAAGAAGCGTCGTTATAACTACGAAAATCCGATCTATCTGGAGGGCGGGTAAAAAATTTAGAAAATCTTATCTGTTGCGTGTAAAAGGGGAGAAAATAGCTAAAATAAGTAAAAATGAGAAAGGATTGGTATGTAGTTTGAATTTTCTGTTTCTCTTTGAAAATCGGTGAAGCGGAATACTTATAAAAAAAGTGAAATTTTTAGAAAATCTGAATTTTCGATTAAAAAAAAAGCTGAAATTCAAGAGATAAAAGTGAAAAAAGCGAAAATCTGCTAAAAAGCGGAAAACTCTCATCCCTGCAATGATCATGTTAAAATAGTAGAAATATTAATTAAACAAAATGTCCTTAACTTGTGTATGCTCATATACAAGGCAAAAAAAAGGCATCGTTAAGGAATTATATTAATTTTATAATTAATATTAACTATAAAATTTCAGGGTTGTCACAAACAGAGTTAAGGGCTCAGAAATTTTTTTTTTCTAATAATTATGTTACACAGCACATGAAGTGGGGGTATGTTACTCAATTTAATTTTGTTATTGTTACAATTCAATTGTCAATTATTGTAACAAGGTCTTTTCAATATCAGGGTTGCCGTTCAAATCTGGGGAAAACAATTCCCTGTGTTTACTCTATACATAATATACACAATATATTAAGAGGAAAAACATAATCACTGTGCTCTTTTATGGGCTGTATTGGGCTAACTATACTAGTTACAATTGCTGAAAACAGCTGAAAATACTTAAAACAAATAGGGTTATAGTAAATGAAGTAGTTTAGTATAGCTGAAATATCATTCGTAAATATCCCAAAGATTACAGTTTGAATGGTTACCATTTGTTAAAAGACAAAAGTAAGAAACAAAATTCACTGTATTTTTCCAGTTTCTAAAGAAAAACTCAAAATTTCCCTTTTAATTTCGGTGATTTTTAAATTCTCTCTACTTTCCAGGTTTTCCCTGTGGAGTGGCAAGTGTTTCACATTTGTAATTCATTCATGTAGTCCCCATTTATGATGTTATTTTTTTTGGATTGTACATAAATTACAAAACCATGATCCTTTGAAGATGATAGTAAAAAAAGATACACACCATTAACAAAAACAAGGTAAGTCTGAGGATTATCAAATTCAAATCCAGTACACAAACGAATGTCTTCCACACCAAAGTTATAGGCGAGTTCGATAACAGGATCCTCTTCCAGATCAGTTGTGACGTGAGACATCAATGCTAAATTCTTCACCAAACCACAACCCTACAATTAAAAAAGTTTGAATTATTGGGTCACATTTTGTTTTACAGGGTGCGTAGCCAAATCTTTCAACAACAACAAAAAAAACACCTTTTAAATACTTTTTAGGCACCTAAAAACATTTTAAAGCACTATATACATTAACAAAATGCAAAATAATTTTTAAAGACTTCACAAGATCATGATAAAATAACTAGTTTATGACAAAGAACTCTTTTCTTGATTATATTAGCCATAAAGAGAACGAGCGATTTTGGTGAAAAATGAAGTCTGAATTTGAAAATATCTGGCAAAATCTAGCAGAGTTGCACATGAGAGTGCAAGAATCTCACCATGCCCAGCTCAGTATATGCACATGCAGACCCACAAGTATTTAATCAAGCATGTAAAATGATTGACGATTTCATACCCTACGAACTGACGATACCCCGAAATATATTGTGTTTGAATGAATTGTGAAAACGCTGAATAGAACAATGTGAAAATCATGCTCTTGCATAACACGTGGCGAAAATCGACATGGTAAAGAAAAAGAATCTATTTTCCAAAAGGGAAAAGTAAGTACTTTTTAAAAACACTCAAATGAAAAAAGCACCTTTAAGGGCTAACAACAAAAAACAAAACAAAAAAGGCACCTTTAAAAAAACGCTACGCATCATGTTTTACCTTAAATCATGACATGTTCAACTTATCTCAATTATGCCCAACTGTACATTTTTAAACAATTATGCTAAGATTGTATATATTGACATGACGATTTAAATCACTTGATTTTTAAAAAAAACTCATTGATTTAAATCAACTGATTTATTTTATGTAAGGAAAAAAAACATTAGGTTAACTCAAAAATTCTTAAAGCTGAGATTTTATTAAAGCATGACTCCATTAATTATACAGAGATATTAAGAAGGTAATATATGTGTAAATCATATTTATTGTTCAAAATAAAATAAAAAAATTTAAAAAAAAACCAAATTTAGAAAAAAGTAATGTAAATATACAATGTCTGTACATAAAATAACTTGCTATTTTATAAACATATTTCCATCATACAATTTAGTTTCATGTTTATTTAAATACAAATATTTTTAAAGCTTATTACATGTACTGTAATTCCCTGTATTTTCCAGGTTTTTCTCAGTGGAGTGGCAACCTTGAAATCATTCGTTTAAATTTTTTTCTCTAAAAAACAAGCATTCAATAGAAAATTAATACAGAGTGTGCAGCCAGATTTTTCAACAAAAAATAAGCACCTTATAAGCACTCAAAAAATATTTTTAATCACTTTCCAAAAAAAAAAAAATTCATAATTAGGATCTGTGCTGGAATTTAAAAAAATTTCTAACGTTAAAAGTTCTTCATTTATAAACATAAATATAAAATCAGTAAAATTCAAAATCATTTTCAAATACTTTACATAATCATGATAAAATAACTAGTCTTTGATAAATATCGCAGAGAAAATTGTAAAAAACATGTATTTTTTGTATTTTAAAACAACAATCAACACGGTAAAGAAAAAAAAATTCTTTTTAAAAGATATAAAATTAAGCACTTTTTACAAACCTTGAATTAAAAAAGGGTCTTTAAAAACGTAAATCAAGAATAAGCACCTTTAAGCACTTTTTAAAAATGCTACACACCCTGTAATACTAATTGTTATTTTTCTCTGATTTTTCTTCTTCTTTCAACAGAGAGCCAGGGACTGAAAGGGTGCGTCAGGATACATACAGGTGGGAAGAGATAAATCACACAGACACAGATCAATATACTCACTTCGCCTTCTGGAGTGTCACATAAGCAGAGCATACCCCATTGGGAACCCTGCAGAGATCTGGGACCCGAAACTTTTCTTGACTTCTCAAACTGACTCTGCACTCTTGTCATCATTCCTAGTGCAGATATGTAGGAGAGACGAGACAGTACTTGAGTTACCCCAATTCGCTCCATCCTGAAACGCTTTACAGTCCAGTTACCCTGCAAATAATAATAATGAACTCATAAGCATGCGTCAATAGGACGACTCATTACAGATACAACAAGTTATCCTTACAGTTGCTATAGCATTGACCAAACCATTAGTTATAGTTGTTTGATACATGTATCTGACAGGATCATCTGGTCCAGCTTTAACTTTAGACATGTTTTTATCCATCTTTGATTTAATCTGCAAAATAACAAAATTTAAATTAAATTTCTATTGGGATTAGCTTAGGCCTAAAGAAACAATTAACATTTTTTATACAGTGAACACATTACTGAATTGGTTATAGCATTTGAAAGCATGAAATAGGCAAAAACAAATTTTTTTGGTGTTTGGTACAAACTAATAAATTAGGAGAACTTGATATTTTGTTTGTATCAAATCTATTACATCCATGTAATTTCTGGAATAAAGAATTATCTGAAATTTTTTTCGCAATGTGTAGTTTTTTTATTTTATTTTTTAGTACTTAATTTTTTTTTCTTCCTTTTTTTGTACAGAATATAAATAAATAAATAAAAATTTTATGCATAAGAGTTACAAGTTAGAAAGTGAGAGAGAATTTTTTTTTATCTAATATTATTTTTCCATATAAACACAGAAAAGAATATTCCTCCCTTTTGCCCTTTGTGAGCCAGCATCACATAAAAAAATAAAAGGATTTTAAAAACCGTGAAATCCATGGCAATAACGGATTTTCCGTTTCGTAAATTCGATTTAAAGTTATTTTTCGCACCACTACACATGAATGATTTGAAAATTCACTTTTTTAAAAATTACTTTGTTTCAGTTCTTCTTCATGATTTTAAAATGTTAGCATAACAAGATTCTGAAACCTTTAGTATTTGATTGTCTCTGTAAAACATTTTTCAAAAAAGCGTTATCAGTTCTGTTTTACTTTTTTATTGAAAAATTAAGTTAATTAGTAGTGGGCGATAAATACCTCTATGTTAAACCTCTTAAACAAATCTTCAAAAAGGAGAGCCAGCAATGATCCAGCAAGCTCCAGTCTTTTATTTCCATAGTAGTCTCTATCATCAAGAAGCTCTGAATTCTTCTCAGCCGCAATGATTCGTCGGATCATAATGGCCATGTAGACAGCCTTCATTTTAAAGTTGAATTCCTCTACCTAATTATGAAACAACAATAGATTAACTGCCAAAAATGGGTAAATTACATAGTTTGGTAAACATTGAATGGGCTCAAAATATTTCATTATTATAACACAAACTTACAGGCACATGAGCGAAAATAGTAGTAAGCAGAATTTCAGAAGCTTCTTCGTCGGGCGTCTTTTTCTGTGATGAGCCCCACATTTTACGTTGTCTGAGTTTGCTTCCTATATACCTTAAAGCCTGCAAAATACAACAAATCAGAAACAAAAACTATGTGACTTTAATATCAAGCGCCATAGCCAGGGGAACATACTGTAGTGTCCCAACTAACAGAAACACAATGTAAAACTTGATTTCAAAGCTTAATAAACAACTTCTTAAACAGGGGACAGAAGCCGAACTTCACTTTTAAAAAAAATTAGAAGAAATAGATCATGCTTAACTCTATCACAATCTCAAAATATAGCTGGAGACAATTTTTAATAAAATTTGCTCCAAGCTCTGTTTTGTTAAAATGTGCTTGGTACGTTACATTACTATTCAAACAAAACATAATCAGTTGTCCACCATAGCTTTGCCAGACATCCAGAAATGTCAACTTTTAGCAATTCTTTAATGCGGTAATTGATATAAGCTCCCATAGTAATATTAAAACATAAAATTATGAATTCAATTCCAATTTCAAAGCAAATTATACGTTTTCAGAACTTTTTTTAAATTTTTTTTTCCATTTCCAATTGCAGATTATAGACAGTAACAGCATGCATAAACATCTAATAAAAATAAGAACAGAAACAAAGGATGCTGCAACAGAGTCTATTAATCACAACATGTCTCTAACTTCCCAATAGCGTTCAGTGATATAATTCCTGCAAAGTGCAGAGCAGCGGAGAAGGTGCGTGTCCTCACCAGAACTGCAAAGAGTGCATACCGGGGAAGGAACGATGCCAAATCTAGACAGGTGTTTCCGTAGACAGTCATGCATGGCCGGTGGCCAAGCGGAATTCAGCCACCGCTCTTCGTCTTGGGCCATTTCGCAAATGACTTTGTTTTCGGAACTAATAAACATGTTTTAATATATTTAATTACATAAAAATTACAAATACAATTTATAAAAGTATTAAAAAAGAAGATTACTTTGAATTTATTTGCCAATTAAATGAATTAGAACAATTCCTGCCAAAAAGAAAAGAGGGCTTGCCTAAAATTTGTACAACATTTGCATGCTTTAATATATTAATTTATATAAAGATTAACAAATACAATTCATAAAAGTATAAAAAAAGATTACTTTGAATTTATTTGTCAATTAAATGAATTAGAACAATTCTTGCAACAACAACAAAGAAGAGTTTGCCTAAAATTTTTACAACATTTGCTGATTCCATTAACAAATTTTAATTGTTTTAGGAAGTTTTCAAAAATCTGGCCTAAAAGAAATGTCTATGAGATTAAAACTTTATTTCACAAACATAAAAGGAAATGTCTGAAGTAGTATCATGATCATCAATTTTCAACTTCATTCTCTTGCTGCTACAAGAATCATCAAAATAATAAAAATGTTTGTCATAGCAATGTATTTTTAGAGGCATAGTGAAAAATAAAATATACAAAAATAACATTAAGCTGCCCAAACTATAGACCAATTTCCAGGCTAACAATTTAGACACCATGTTTTCAATCCCCGTTGTATCTAACTCACCACCAAGTTTAAAACCTCAATCTTTCAACAAAAAAAAAATATGCCTAATAAGATCTTTGGGAATCATGATTGCTCAGGGAATAGAGTGTTCATCTTCCAATGAGGTGAACCAGGTTCGAATCCCAGTGATGGTATGTGAACGAATTCCGCATTCGGCTTGCACGGACCACAGTGCTGACGAAAAATATCCTTAGTGGTAGACGAATCTAGGGTAAGAGTCCCCTTGCCATCAGGCTAACTGTGGGAGGTTTTCATGGTCTTCTACTCCATGAAATGCAAATATGGGCCAGTTTCATCAAAAAGTCCTCCACAACACCAAATTTCTCCCAATACTTGATCCAGTCTTCTGGACTGGTTTCAAAATTATAAGGCGACAGAGTTGAACATTAGTAGTCTTAAACCCAAAAAATTGGGTTAACTGTTCAACGGCGTTTATACAATAAGATCTTCAGTAACTTATCATTCAGTCAAAAATTACTGCATAGAACTAACTGCATGATATTAATTCTTCTCTACATTAATATTTAAATAAGAGAAACCAATTACCTGCTTTTGGGTAAATATTTGAGCTTCTAAACACTCATAGATGGATGAAAATATTTTAGTGCATGTATTCTCATCAGTACCTATGAGCTGTACAATTTCTTGATCACTTTCCAATTCCATTGCTTTAAATATAATAAAAACAGGTATATCCTAGAAATAAAAATTTTTCTTTTCATAAAAGTTTTCTAAATAAAAAAAAAAGTAGTTTGTTTCTCAATTTTTCAGTTTAAGATTATTTTTTTCAAGTTCTTCACATCCAAGTAATCGTTCATTTGTTGTTATTAACATATTAATAAAATATGTTTTCAGAAAATTATAACTATTAAAGATTTTATCAAAAAATGAAATAGTTAGAAAACATTGATTTTCAAAATAAAAATAAAAAACTCAGATGACTTAGCACTATGCAATTACGGAAGTTGGTAAGCGGAGCAAGTAAGGGACGGAGCCTCTCAGTGAAATTAAAATGATACTGAAAAACTTTCGACTGCAACAGAAAATGTTGGCAAATAATCATTATAATAATAAAAATTATTATGCATAAATTACTAACTTCAATTACTACTAAGTTAAATAAATACTAATTACAATTATAATCTTAAAAGATAATATTTATGTTTTGTTTTGTTGAAATCATTTAGTTCGAATTGTACCGAATTTTAAAAAAAAGTCATCAAATGGTTTTTTTAAGATACTGCTTACATAAAAATTATAATCATAGCATTTAGTAAAATTATATATAAAATTAATGTAATTATATATAAAATTATATGCAATGTAATATTATATATAATATTTAGTAAAAATATATATATTATGTATAAGGATTTTTTGAAAGATTTAACACTTTTTAATTTAAACATAGCTTTTAGGGGTTTAAAAAAATTCTAAAATTTTGGAAAATTATTGGGGCCCCCCTTTCCGCGTCACGCGGACGCTACACCTATGGATGGGATTACTTAGTTCACCACAACTGAGTGTTCACTATCTCCGTGTTCATTAAAGCGGGATCAGAATGTTATTACAAATAAATGCAACCAAACGGTTATGGTAATTGAATTGAGTTTAAAATGAACTCACATCAGTAAAACAGTTGTGTTTGAGATAAAAACGCCCTTTTTTCGTTAATATCACAGTCCTCGTCTTCTTCTCAGTTGTAGAGCTGTAAAAAAGAAGTACTAAAGTCAAAAGAAACACACAGTTAAAGAAAGTTCTTAATTTAAAGTATTTTCCAAAACACAGAGCTCATTAACTCATTTTTATGAGCTTATTATTTACTGTTTATTATACACTCTTCCAGCAGAAAATCAATAATCTTTTCTGATTGTGTAGAACAGAAAGATTATTAAGATATTTTGAAATTTCTGTAGACAAATAAAAATTTCTTTACTTTTTAATAAATAAATAACTTAAAAAAAGGATAGAAGTTAATTTGGAAAATGAAAAATATTTTATATATGAAAAAATACTTACTTCAAAATTCAAAGAATCACATTATACTAATATTGAATAAATAATTCTAATTACAATTGCAATTAATTCTAATTACATTTTAATAATAAAAATAATTCATTTAAATAATAAAAATAATTAATAATACTAATTATTTTTTTTAAATGAAAATTAAAGTTAATTCTTTTTTTTTTCTTCTTTTGCATACCAATAAATTGGTTATGATGATTCACTTCGTAATCTTAGAGCCCAAAAACTCTAGAAGTAGTTTAAAAAATTAGTAAAATTGCCAATAAAAATAGCAAAAAAAAATGCCTTTAAAAAAAACAATGATCCAAGAATAAAATTTTTAAAAAAAATGTGTAATTGAACAAGAATTTCAAAATGAAGCCATTTCTTTCCTAAAATTTAATATAATTGCATAAAACATGGAAAAGTAAATTAAAAGATACTAAGATGAAATTTTCATTACAGTTCAAAAAAGTAACAAAACACTTCATTTTGTTAAACACCTTGGCAGTATCCCAAAGAAATATTCTTAAACATGTTTTGCAGAAAACAACCAGTATGGAGGAATATGCTTATTTTGATGGAAAAATGCACTTTTTCTGAAGGAACATACCTTCTTTTTTCAACAAATTCAGAGTTATAACCTCCATATTAACTAAAGGTGATATTTTGACCATATTTTTATCATGCATCTGGATTTGTCTAGAATGAAAGGTTCGGAGGTAAACAATTTACAAATTAAAATATTTTGAAAACAGTAATTTAGCTTCAGTTAAATACAGGATATCTGCTACATTTTAGATTTTTAAATTCATGACTTTTCATGACTAATCCTAGAATTTTTCATGACTTAATGAAGTTACTATTTTTTCCGACAAATATGCAACAAGAAATTCAAAAACGCATTATAATAACATAAATTGAAATGATAGGTATAACCAGAACTGTTATACTTCGCATCTTCATATTTAAAGATTTTAAATTCAAAAAAACAGAGTAAAGAATGAGTTAAAGCAATAAAATAGCTGAAAAAAAATACAAAAGCAAATAATTGTTTTTTTTTTTTTCAGCAGAATTACATCCTAAAGATACTTTNTTTCTGCAGAATTATATTCTAAAGATACTTCTCTTGTTCATCCGAAACGAAAGAAATATTCTTGATTTTTCTGTTCTCATTTCAGAAAAAAAAAATTCGGCATTGACTGGCTTGCTTAAAGGAAGAACTNTTTTTCGTTAATATCACAGTCCTCGTCTTCTTTTCAGTTGTAGAGCTGTAAAAAAGAAGTACTAAAGTCAAAACAAACACACAGTTAAAGAAAGTTCTTAATTTAAAGTATTTTCCAAAACACAGAGCTCATTAACTCATTTTTATGAGCTTATTATTTACTGTTTATTATACACTCTTCCAGCAGAAAATCAATAATCTTTCTGATGGTGTAGAACAGAAAGATTATTAAGATATTTTGAAATTTCAGTAGACAAATAAAAATTTCCTAAAATAACTAACTTAAAAAAAAAAGGATAGAAGTTAATTTGGAAAATGAAAAATATTTTATGTATGAAAAAATAGTTCTTTCAAAATTCAAACAGTCACATTATACTAATATTGAATAAATAACTCTAATTACAATTGCAATTAATTCTAATTATACCTTAATAATAAAAATAATTCATTTAAATAAAAATAATTAATAATAACTATCATTATTTTTAAATGAAAATTAAAGTTAACTCTTTTTTTTTCTTTTGCATACCAATAAATTTGTTATGATAATTCACTTTCAGGGATCTATCCAAGCCAAATTTACTACCGTTTAGCGGTACCTTCACAAATTCAACTTAAGGAAAAAACGGTAGTTTCACAAAATATTTTTTCTTAAAATTTTATTATGTATCTCATAAGAAACGAAAAATTCATATTTTTATCATAATTTTGTGTTGATTTTTTAATATAATTTTTAATTTTCACAAATTATGCCTAAATTTTCACAAAATCGGTAACTCTCAGAAAAACCTAGACAGACCACTGACTTTGTAATCTTAGACGTAGAGCCCGAAGACTTTAGAAGTAGTTTAAAAACCTAAAAAATGAGTAAAATTGCCAATAAAAATAGCAAAAAAAAATGACTTTAAAAAAATTAATGATCCAAGAATAAAATTTAAAAAAAAATTTCTAATTGAACAAGAATTTCAAAATGAAGCCATTTCTTTCCTAAAATTTGATACAATTGCATTAAAACATGGAAAAGTAATTTAAAAGATACTAAGATGAAATTTTCATAACAGTTCAAAAAAGTTAAACATAAAAGTAACAAAATACTTTATTTTGTTAAATACCATAGCAGTATCCCAAAGAAATATTCTTAAATATGTTTTACAGAAAATAACCAGTATGGAGGAATATGCTTATTTTGATGCAAAAATGCACTTTTTCTGAAGGAACATACCTTCTTTTTTCAACAAATTCAGAGTTATAACTTCCATATTAACTAAAGGTAATATTTTGACCATATTTTTATCACATATCTGGATTCGTCTAAAATGAAAGGTTCAGAGGTAAACAATTTACAAATTAAAATATTTTGAAAACAGTAATTTAGCTTCAACAACTGAAGCAAAATAATCAACATAATTTTGCTTTGAAGTAAATTTTTCATGACAATTTTTTTAAATGACAATATTTTTGCAGTTATTTGCTTTGAAGTAAAAATTGCAAATACATTATTATACAGAAATTGTTTTTTAAAAAAAATCAGCCTTGCAAAAGAATAGCGTCACACTTTGGCAAATTTTCATTTATTAACATACTTTCTACAAAATTGACATAATTTAAATTTTTTTTAAAGTACATATTTCCACATAGGATGATAAAATTTGACAAAATGTTTGACACCGAGATAATAGAAACAGAAAAACTTTTTTCAATACAGAGTGAAAATATATAGAAATTCAAACCTTTAAACATATTTCAAATAAATATAGTTTTTTGACTAATTAAACAATTTTTTTAATATATCTTTTGTTCGTTTTATTAATTTTTTTAAATGGTTGCTTACAGAAGACACCCAAGCATCCTGCATTACACAAGCAATGTATAGTAAATGTTTGTTATAAAAAAAAAAACTGTTCAAATAAAATTATTACCTAGTAACATGACAAGTTATTAAACCTTTAGAATCCTTCTCAACTATCATTCGATTTTTAGAGAGCTGCTCGTGCATTAATATCACCTTTTCTGTCCCATTCACAATAAAGTAACCACCTGGATCTAAATGGCATTCATTCAGAGCAATTAGTTCATATTCAGTTTTTCCATAAAGTCTACACTTTGAGCTACGAAGCATAATCGGCATTCTAAGAGCAAAAAAGGATATATATATATATCTATAGCATAATAAATAAATACAAAAAAACATGAAGGAAATTAAGAAAAACAAGGGAAAAATTACAGAACAATGAAAAAATGGGGGAGGGGAAATAAAAATTATAATAAAAATAAAAAGAAACGGAGGAGAAAAAAAAATTTCGAAAAAAGGAAAAAAATAATTTTCCTGATTTTTAAAAAATTTTTTTGTCCTTTTTTTCGGAATTTTGTTTCCCCCGGTTTCTTATTATTTTTATTATAATTATTTTCTCCTTTTTTCATTGTTCTGTAATTTTTCCCTTGTTTTCTCTATATTTTGAACTAATATATATATATATATATATATATATGGATTAAAAACTAAACATATATCTCTAAATGTGTAAGTAAATATAGTAAGTGAAAAAATATAAGAAAAAATGTATTGCTTTTTCATCATTTACTTTGCTGTACCTAATTTAACATTCCTACTTGGAGAATAATGATTGTCATTGATTATAAAAGACAGAACTGCCATATTCATACCTGCCAACATTGGAGAAACAAAATAATGGAGATTTTACTAGCGACATTTTTAGGCTACGAGTAAAGTTTTGACACATCATGCAAAATTATGCAAGTCAAAAAGAGAAATATTATAAGCACTTACATATAGCGAAGTAAAAAATATGTATATAAATCTTAATCCAAAGATAGTTTAGAAAATTATTTATAATTACTCTAACTATAAACACTCAACATGCTGCAGTACTGGCAAAAGCACCATCTGATCAGGAATAAGAGAAGTATTTTTGCCATCAGCGAATATTTTAAAGGCAAAATTTTTTGTTAAAAAAATCTCTTCAAACAAGAGAAATTTGAAAATATCATCGTAAAATACAGGAGTCTTCGTTAAAAAACAGAAGACTTGGCATGTATGCATATTTATTTTAATAATAAAACCTAATCCCAAGAAACTGATATTATTCAATTAAAAACTTCATTTGCTTCAAAAATATACAAATTGGAAATAACAATCGATATGTTTCAAGCGTTCAAAACAGGAGCCCATTTTTCAAGAATAGCCAGACCTGAATGAAAAGAAACCAAAATGATTTGTAATAATGTTACAACCTCTCCTTTTTTTTCAAAATTTTTATTCACATTGGACAAATTTTGAAAATGAGAGCCTGTTTTTGAGCACTTGAAACACGCCAACTTTTAATCCAAATTTCTATTCTTTGAAGCAAAAGAAATTTTTAATCAAATAAGTATTAAAATAGCTTCTTGATTCCTTCCATTTTGAAAGAACTGATGTATGCAAAACAATCTAAACGTTGCTTTTTAGTCGTTTATTTTGCTTTTGAGTTATTGGTGCTAAACAGTAGTAATGAGTCATTTCAATAGGCAACTGTAAAAGACAAGGCAAAAAATAAGGCAACTAACTGTAACAATCGCCAAAAAACGATTAGAAAATTACAATGATTTATGACGACATAACGAATTCAGCATGTGAAAAAGTAATTAGCCCAATTTAAAATTCGTGTCATAACAACATATCAAAAATCTTCTTGCTTGAAAACTGAGTGAAAAAGACTAAAAATGGAAAACTGCTAAGGAAATGGTCAGAAAATGATGTGAATTAAATATGGAGTAGTCGTGAATAAAGCAAATCAAAAAGTGAATACTCAAATTCAAAATTCCAGTGTCAAAATAGCACTGCATTAAAAGTATTGGAATTTGAATGACCATGTAAAAATGACATAAAAAAGAAAAATAGCTAAAATAACTGCCGAGAAAATGATCAGAAATCAACAGGGATAAATGATTGGAATAGTCGAAAATTATTGAAATTTGTGAAAAATCACATAAAAAAGATGGAAAAATGATCAAAAATCCAGGTCATCAAAAGTTACTAACAATTTTTAATACTGCGCTTCTCTGTAACTAATTGGTTTTTTCCTAGCAAAGCAATTTGCAACTTGCTAGTCGACGAAATTGCGCCTAGTTAATTTTAATTATTTTATTACAGATAAGTCAAAGGTAGCACATTTATATCAAAATGTAGTAATGTTTACATTTTGGTGAAATTAAGGGGCAAACATTTACAGAGTTGTTACTAATTTCTATGAGTTCATTTATATGCAGATGATATATTGAGTTAAATAAAGACAAAATTTAAAAAGTAAAACACATTACTTTCCAATATTTACATCTTTTTTAATAGCTCTTCGTTGATTGTGAACAAATTCCACATCGACAGTGATGGGTGCACTGTAGGTTATATCTCGCAAACGGCACTGAAAATAAAATATATCAACAATATTAGGAAATAAAAAATTCAGACAAATAGTATTCAAACAGAATATTTTCAATCAAACTATCATATCCTTGGAAAACAATCTTTTGAATGATGTCTAATTTTGACCATAAAAATATGATTGAAACTTTTCAAGCTATAGAAATATGATATGATGAATTGAATTTATTTTATTCATAAGTTATTTTTACGAGTGGTGACTGGTAAGTATAACTTGTCACTGCCAGCATGTTTATAAAACACAAAGATGATAAGAAGAGGTATTCAAAACATTCAAGAGATATGCAAACCATATTTTAATATAAGAAGTCAGACACAAAAACATACTTTCTCTGAATAAACATACCTTTTTTTCGACGGACACATATTTCTGACCTCCAAAACCTAAGGGGTAGCCGCAATCTGTTATGGTTCCAATAGTATGGTCAGGAGAGACCCCCAAAGTTTGGATCACTTAACATTAATTTTATTTTCTGCATATTTCCCTGTATCTCGAGAACTATTTTAGTGAATTGAAAAATTTCAGTAAATATTTTCTATTTTTGATTGTCTTAATTAAAAATGGTTAAAAAACTTTTGAATCATAAGGCGAAATTTTTTCCATCATTTTAAAGAAATTTTACATGGCAAAATACAAAATTTGAGCAAAATCAGTTGAATAGTCCTGAGAAATCGAATTTTAAATATCTTACTATTTTTAAATTAAATTTCTCAGGAACTAGTCAACAGATATTGGTCAAATTTTGTATTTTGCCATGCAAAATTATATTCTTTAAAATGATGCAAAAAATTGCAGGGTTCATACAGAGATCTGAAGAAGAAATCCAAGGAGTATCCAAGGAGTTCAAAATTTTAAGGACTTATCAAAAATTTAAAAACTTTGCGTAAAAGATAGCTAGACAGTTTTTAATTAAAAAGCAGTTATTATAAGGAACTCGAAAAAATTTATATTTTGCATATTTTTTTTCTAGCCTTTTTGAAATATATTTTGACTTAGTCAAACTTCATCAAGAAAAATAAAGTTATCACTTTTACACATAAACACACTTTCCAGTTTCAAATATTTCAATAAATCTTGTTAAAGAACAGATGTTAAAGATTAACATAAAAACCTACCAATCTTATATTTTTAATTTGAATACATAAGAAAATCTAAGGCATTTCATACAAAAAAAAAAAAATCACAGTAAATTAAGTTTGCTTGTAACATGTAAAATTAAAATTATTTACTGTTATTTTTTTTTTTCGTTTAAAGTTATTCTTAAACTATTAGATTTTGGCAGCTAAGTCATATAATTTAGTTTCCCTGCTTGGACAGCAAATTTATCAGCGAACTTAGTAAGTTCATCTATGCAACACAATAATCTAAGGCGTTTCTAAGGACTAACTTGGAAATCTAAGTAGTTCAAAGTACTCCTTGGAGACTTTTTTTATTTCCAAGGAGTTTCTAAGGAGTATAAGGAGTCTGTACGAACGTTGAAATTGTATACCTTACAATTAAAAAGCTTTTCGACCACTGTTAAACGAAATATATTTATTTTGAATGCGCAGGATTGGATGTAGCAAAGTGCCCCTAGACCAGGAATAATTTTNAATAATCTAAGGACTAATTTGGAAATCTAAGTAGTTCCAAGTACTCCTTGGAGACCTTTTTAATACCAAGGAGTATAAGGAGTCTGTACGAACGTTGAAATTGTATACCTTACAATTAAAAAGTTTTTCGACCACTGTTAAACGAAATAATAAAAAATAATAAATATTTATTAAAAAATATTTTTTGTATTGCATTATATTTGAATTTTATAATTGAGAGCAAACATTTTTTAACTCGCTTAAAAAGTTCTCAAGATATAGTGAAATGCACAAAAAAGTAACATTAAGGGGTGCAAACCTTAGACTGCTCTCCTGACCAAACTATTGTGACCATATTTTCAAGAGTGGGCATACCCCCTATATTTTTGGGGTCAGATATCCGAATCCGTCAAAACAAACGGTATGTTTATTCAGAGAAAGTGCATTTTGGCGTCGGTCTAATTTCATAACTTTATCGTCTATATTTATTAGCATATTTAAAGTCACTAGAGTCATTAAGATTGAGTCCTAGAACGTTAACAGTTGATCATTAGATCAAAAGTTATTCAGAATGGACCTTTTTTTTTTTTACACACTGTACATGTCTTCAAAATTTAAATCCATCGGTTGTCTCGACTAAACATTTCATTTCAAATCTATCCATTTAGTTCGTTACTTACTTGAAAAATAAATTCATCTTTATAAATTAAAGAACCATACTTAGGATGAAAGCAAATGATTATTTGGTGCTTTTTAAATAGTGAATTATAAGCTTACAATTACTTAGCTTTAAGATTCACTAGTATGAAAAATATATAAAAAGTTTAGAAACAAGAAATTTTGACCTGAAATGTGAAATACAACACAGATTTAGTTTTTCTGTAACATCTAAGCATGCCTTTTCCTTTTTAAAAAACTGTAAAAAATTGTTTGGTCAGGAAAAGTGGCTTTTATACATCAAAATCTTAAATTAATATGATAAAGATGTTAATACTCACTTCATGAGGAGTGGTCAAATTCATCATTTGATATCCCTCTTCAATTGTAGGATTTCCAACACTCACAGAAAGGTATCTTAATTAAACAGGAAAAAAATGATAGAATTATTATTAATATTTCACAATTCTTTTGACCATTAATTACACCTAGGTAAAAAAAAAATTGGTGGTCATTTCACTCTTTTTTATTCATAGAAAATTAAAGATATTTCATGATTATTGAATGATAACATCAAAAGAAATAGTAGTTTAAGTAGTTTTTTTTAAAGACTTTTGTCATCGATTAACTCGTTTTCAATGGAAGAATGTTTGTTTCGAAATCAGAAAAATGTCAAACACCTGCTTTCGGAGTGATTTTCTGAGAATTGAAAAAAAATTCAGGTGCTATATTAGAATGAACAGTTTAATTCAGATGTTCTTATGGACAATAATATAACAATGCAACAATAAAATGGCAAACGGAACTTCGGGTAGTTGTCATTATAACGGAAGGGGGAGTAGTCATACTAAAGATATAGCTATACCTAGATATAGCTATACAAACGAAATATACTATATATCTTCTTCTGGATAAACTCAAGCAAGATGATGAAGTGAATTTAAACAAGAGGGCATTATAGAAATTAGATATGACACTATTTCATAGTGTGAAATTATGCCACCTTTAAAATATAGATTTCATCATTTTCACACAAAAAACTTAAGCAATAATAAAAACATACGTAGATTTAATCTAAACATTTCTTAGAATTAAAACGTTTAAAACAACAATCCAAAGCTTATATAGAATCATCACATTGCGAACATATTATTAACATATTTTCAGTCACACGAGACAACACATTTCATCCAAGATCACAATAAAATAATGACTAAATAGGAAAGAAATTAAAAAAATTAATTACTTTATATAATATGATGGGTCCACATCAGAAACAATTTTTTCGTTTGCTTGGACAATTTTTTTGATCTAAAAAGACAAAATTTGTATCAGTAAGTTTCTACTCTACAGGATATTTTGCTCTTATGAACTGGTGCAAAATGTCCTTCATTCTATTAGTTACACACACACACACATATATATATATAACGTCGTTGCCGAGTGGAAGGATAAAAACATGTCTTAGACAGGGAAGGAGGGTACAAAATTTATTTATTAATTATTAGACAGAGAGCAGTCATAAAAGTGGTCACGAAAAGTTGTGTTTCTTCATTATATGTTAGGAAAAATCTTGCAAAGTAAAACCGTAAAATGTTTCAATTTTAGGAAAGAGGGAAATCTTAGTAATTGTAATTGGTTTATCAGATAGGTCAAGCGATTCCCACAGAGAGCAAAGGGGGAAATATCTTGCTTTTAATTACTGCATACTTGAGCCAAAAATAAATTTAAGGGCAGGATGTGAATTTAAAAGGTTGAGAAAGCGTTTTGATTAGAATAATAAAATAAAAGAAAAAGATTTACAGAAAAGAACTAACATAAAAAGATTAATTGAAGCTTTTTTATTTTACACACACACACACATATATATATATATATATTAGGGCGTATCGAAAAAATCGAAATTTCTTAGATCTTTTTGCGGTAGTGCGGAAAAGATGTGAATTCCTATTATTAAAAAATTAGCGGAATCTTAAAACTCTGGGTTGATATCTTCTGTTGCCTCAGTGGGCCTAAAGTTCCAAAAATTGGACTCAAAATGATTAAAATACAAAAATTAATACATAACCACAGATTTCGCTGATCGGTTTAAGGTAACACTTAAAAGTTACAATATTGTAAAAACAAAAACTATAAAAAATTTTAGAATTACAGAATAATATCTTCTGCCGCCTCATCGCATCTAATTTTGGAAATTTCGACGCATTTTGGTACTTTTCTGTATAACTGTTTACTGCTTGCACAATGCACAATCGAGACAGACTGGATTTGGCGCTCTGCCAAAAAAATAGAACAACCTTATTTTGATCCTAAGAACCAAATCGGAGATCTGACGAATGTTGAGAACTTTAAAACGGAGGCAAAAAAACTATTTGACATATCTGCCTGTAAATGCGCGATTTTTAAGGAGTGTGTCTGTCCGAAAGAAAGCAAAGCTCCTGGAAATGAGCAGGTGTTCCTCATTGACCAACGAACGGAAAGAAAACTGTTTATTGGAAACGTTGATGTTCCAGAATCAAAACGACACCAGAAACTTCAAACGCGAAAGGAACATGATACAATCTGCAAAACACGCGTCTCTTGCTTCTGTGTCAAGCTATTCAGTACAAAATGGAAAGAAAAATGAAATAGAATATGCGATGGAGATAGCGGCGGAGGAAGACAAGGTGGGCACCAAACACGCGTCTTACACTGTGTCGTTTCAGCAGCCCATAGGGAGTAATCAAATGCGTTTTAAACTGGATAACACAGTTCTTGTCAGTCAAAGATCAAAGATATGGTGTATCCAACAGAGCCACGGCTGCTATTGCATCGAGTGTTATAAAAGATTTGGGTTTAATATCGGAATCAGATACCAGCCTCGTTACAGACAAAAATAAAATATGGAGGGAAAAATCGAGAATTTACAAAGAAATGTCTCAAAATCAATTGAAAATCGTTCCACTATATATGGCTTTTACTTTAATGGACGGCAGGACAAAACTTTAACATCAGAAACACGAGGGCAAGCAGTTCCAAAGAACAATTGTAGAAGCTCATTACTGTATTCTATCGGAGCCTGATTCTACATACATGGGACATGTTACGCCCGTAAGTGGATCTAGTCTTCATATATCTAATAGCATTTACGAATATATAACAGGTGATTTATTGGATGATTTTCGTAACCTTTGTGTTCTCGGGTGTGACGGCACTGTAGTGAACACAGGAGTGTTTAATGGTGTAATTCGCAGGCTTGAATTGAAACTTCAGAGACCAGTACAATGGATTATCTGCTTACTTCATTTCAATGAGTTGCCATTACGACACCTATTTGAGTCCATTGCAGCAAGTCATCTGGACCCACATCTTATACCGGAGACATTGGACGGAACCTCAAAGGATGCGAAAAGCTTTCAATTGTTGCTTTTTATAGCGAGATGCCAGATATTGATCCCACCACTCTCAGTTCAGATCAGAAATACTTATTAAACATTTTCACCGCCATTAGTTCTGGCGTTTGTTGTTCAGATCTAGCTAACCGGGAACCAAGAACATTGAATTTGGCTCGCTGGCTAACAACTGCTAATCGAATACTGAGGTTATATATATCTACATTAGACCCATCAAACGAGTTACTAACTTTATTTGTATTCATTCTAAGAGTCTACGCGCCCTCATGGTTCCGAATAAAGATTCATCCGTCCATAAAAGATGGTACTAGACACCTGTGGCATTTCATCAATTCCTCTCGATACTTGCCTAAAAAATATCGTGACGTAATCGAACCAATTATTTCTCGCAACGCTTGCTTTGCAGCTCCAGAAAACATGCTTTTGGCCATGTTAACGGAAGAGAGGTGCCCTATTAGGACCCTTGCAACTCGGCGGATTATTAAGGCAAGGGGAGTTAGCTTGGAAGGAAATGGTGTTCGCAGATTCGTTATTCCTGCTTTTAACTTTGAAGCAGCAGGCTATGTAGATCTCATTGACTGACAAGCTTGTTATGTGACATTGCCTCCCGTTCTCAGAGAGATCAGTTTTCAAGAACTTCTGAAGATGATAAAGGACGGTATGCCAATGGACTGCTGGGACTTTATTAAATTTCCTTCACACGCACACAAGCAGTGGAGCGGATTGTGAAACTAGTTACTGCAGCTTCGGGAAAAATAGTTGGGCCACTGAATAGGGATAGATTTATTAGAGTGGCACTAGAATCCAGAAAACATATGTCAAAATTTGAGACAAAAAATTAATACAAACAGTAATGGTTTTGTCATTTGTATGCTTAAGAGGTAAAATAAAGTCTCCCTTCCCATTAAAATGAGGTAAGTGTGAAGTTTATTTACTTAAAATTTTGCCTTCATTTTCCAAAATTTTGTGGCGATGAGGCGGCAGAAGATATTAAAATATAATTCTAAGATTTTTTATGGTTGTATTTGTTATGGAATAGCAACTTGTAAACACTACCCAAAACCGATAAGCGAAATAAGGGTTTGCTTATTATTATTTTTTATTTTAATGATTTTTAGTCCAATTTTCGAAACTTTCGGCCCACTGAGGCGACAGAAGATATTGACCCAGAGTTTTGATATTCCGCACAATTTTTAATGATGGGTGTTCACATCTTTTCCGCACTACCGCAAAAAGATCTAAGAAATTTCGATTTTTTCGATACGCCCTAATATATATATATAGATAGATATACATATACACACACACAAGCATACTGAAGTCTTTGCCCAAAGAAAATATCGTAATTAAGACAGTGAAAAATAAAAATAATTAACTTTTTATATTCCGTTTTCAATATTCAAACAAAGTAGAAACGCAAAATTTAATCATTGAACACAAAAGCTAAATTAACCATTACTTTGCTTTTATCGATATAGCCCTTTTAACAACCATTACACCTTTACACAAAAAAAAAAAATTCTGGATCAAATTACAGTAAAAGTACTAGCATAATGAGTGTCGGTCCTTTTTAACTGTAATTTGATCCAAATTTTTTACAGAGTACACAGCTGAGAAACTGAATTCTGTAGTGTTTTTTTACTAATATTTTTCCAGGTTATTCTAAACAATGTCGCAATCAAATCTCACTCTTTAAAAATTCATTTGAGTCATTAAACGAATCTGTTGACAGGCCAACGCGTGCCACTGTTACTCACTCAGGTTGAGATCAGATGATTGTGGGTGGAGGTCATGGCATTAAAATGAATTTTTACTTTTCTTTTGATTTTACAATTAAGGTCATTATCTTATTGAGGAATGATTCCATTTTATCTTTTGTTCTAGAGGAAACATAAAGAATTAAGATATAATATTACATTTTGTCTAATATTAAAACTGGGCCAAATCTCTAATCCTTCTTTAAGAAAACATTCAAGACCTTCTCCATGTTCTATTACAACTTTATTAACTTTCTAACATTCTTTCTGCAACATTTCTTCAAACATGCTTTAGCCCCTTTTTTTTTTTTTTTTGTGAAGTACAACCTTGGTATAATTGATGCAAATAATAATATAATAATAATGGTTGTGCCATTGATTTAATGTTTGACTTGTCTTATTTTAATGTTTCTAAAATAAATCAAGACATTACACCTAATTTTCTAATCTTAAGAAAGATTTTCTGCAAAATATTCGAGCATTCAAATTTTCGTGAGGCTGTCACCCTTTCACTGTGTGGATTGAAGTTTATTCGTTACTTCAGTGATATCAGTTGCTTCAAATCTTCTATTTAGCTTGTTCATAATAATAATAATATACTTCTATTTTAAATTTTTGTGGCCATTTTTCCCTGTTACTATCAAAACAAGGGACAACTAGAACTTACTAAGATCCTTATAAACTTATAAATTCTCTTCATTCAAGTTTTGCATAATAGAACTTATATGCTCCAAGTGGTATTAGAATCTAATTAAAATTGATTTTAATTTTAATTTTTAAAACATAAATCTTGAATAAGGAATTTGGGAAAAGACTTTTGCACACCAGTGTATATGGGTGATTCTTTTTAAACATGACATTTTGGACCAAAAAATTTCTTCAAATTTAGTCTTCAAAATAATCTAAAATTTTTTTTGTATACTTCTTCAGTTACATTTATTAATATCTTACAGACAGCAGTGTAATTTATTGACATTTGCTCGAGAAAAAAAATAAAATTGGAATTCACCAAATCTTGAATGCCAGGAAAATGACATATTAGCTTAGAAGTTTAAAAAACAGTCATTTTAAGTTAATAGTAAGTAACTCAACTTAAGCCTTTTTGTTATATGGACCATAAATTGCTTAAATTAATTATTTTTATCCACTGTCGAAAGAATCAAATTTTTTTTTGTTGCTGTTATGTACAGAATAAAATTGTGTATAATAATCAATCATTAAATAAATAAATAACTTTGATTACATCCAACCATATTACAATCATGCATAAACTTGGTATTAGGTTAATATTTGCTCTTCCTCCTTACAGTATTAGCAGTTAAAAAAATTTCTGGTAACGCTTCAATGTCCTGGGATTCATAAGCCAGGAAAATGACAGCCAGAATAATGACAAATTTGCATATAACTTTTATATGTATTTTATAGCATATAACTTGACTTTAATATTTTGGCCTAAGACGTTTACATTCTTCAGAAAACAACAGGATTTCTTAAATAACTCAGATAAATCTATGTAGTTCATGTTATCAATGATTTCGAGAAGCCAGAAAAATGACAACACAAAAACCTACTCATTTTGAAAAAATTTTTGAAATAGATTTTTAACCAGAAAATTGGTTCTTTATTCATGCAACAAGACATATAGGAGGCCATCTAATCAATCTATTAACATAAGATATTGATTGCTGGCTCTATCTATTTTGGTTATAAACCATTAAATAAAAGTAACCAGGAAAATGACAGATTTTCTTGGGACAAACAAATTATTGACAGAAAAAAAATTCTTAAATGAAGTCTTTGTAAATAATAAACCCTGCGTATATTCTAGAAATGCTTACACCGGTTAAGATAAAAAAAATTAGATATTGAAAAATTTATGGGAAGTTTTGAAGCTAGTTATTATTGGAAACATTGCTTGGGACATGCCAGAAAAATGACATTTTGAAGTTCAATTAAATATTTTAACAATACAAAACAGTCAATGCTAGAGCAAAGTCATTTTAAAATGCTAACAGCAATGCAATTTATAAATTTTTTTTAAAACAAGTTCTTAAAAACAAATGATAAAATACATTCTATGTTTACATGAAATTAAAATTGCAGCATAACATGGTATCAAGAAGAAAAAGAAGAGCGAATTCCTACGTAGTTGGTGAAACACTTAAATGTCCACCTAAGTATCTTTCAAGCCTACGCACTTCCTCAGAAAGTCTGATGTAAGTTAACTGCCATTTAAATCAAATCAAGAAGTTTGCACTTCATCAGTTCGGTCAGGAAAATATCCCTTCAGGCAGATGAGATGTTATTCCTTCTTATAAACATACTGGATGAGCAACGCGTTTCAAGTTGCTGCATGCCTGTACTCGCTGTCATCCACAAAGTCCAGTCGATACAATTATTAATGCAGATTGCTTCAGTCAGCTAATTTTTTCTTACCACTTCATGTATGGGTTTTAAATATTTTCCAAACAAAAAAAAATTATAATATGTAATATTTAGTCCCATCTATTTAGGAATGTATGATTATGCAACACTTTTAAAAAACTAAATAATCTCGAAATTTTAAAATAATTAAACTATTTCAGTTATTCAAACTGATTGTATTTAATTAACTTAAATGATAAGTATTACCTAATTAAATAAGTAAAGTGAAGAACCAAAGAATGAGATAGCATATATATAATGTTATAATAGAACATAATATAATTTGGCAATAGAAAAATAAAATAAATATAGTGGTTGTCATGATTAATTAAACACAAAAAATTTAAATATAATATGTAAACATATTACCCTTTAAAAATTCTCATGACACTCAGTCAAAATTTACATTTCGAGTACACATTTATAATTTTTTTTTTTTTAATTAAGTGGTCTTCTTAAAAGATTAAAACAAAAATTAAATAATGATCAAACAACTTACCCCAACATTGATAAAATGATCAAATGAATCAATATGTTGTTTAACTAAGCCTTTGGTTTTCAAAAATGCTGCCACTAATTTTCCTTTATCCTTAAAAAAAAAAAAATTTAAACAGAGGATGGTTTTAAAAGAATTATCAGCAATTTTTCTTTATGCAAAAATTAACTAAAATTGCATCATTTCTCAAATGCAGAATTAAAATAAAGTATAAACACTTAAAAGTGAAATAAAATATTCTTAAATTTTATTCTAAGTCTCCTCAAGGTTGCTACAATAAATAGAGAAGTAGATATTTCATTTAAATTAGAAGAATTAAGGAAACTATCTAGTGTAGGTTGTAGGCACAATCCTGACAGATAAATCAGCTTTTTTCTTAAAGAAAGAGCAAAAATACTAAACAGCTAATTCTGAAGAGCATAAAAAATTTATTTTCTAAAACTTTTGGACAAGAAATTTGGCAGTAAAAATTGTGATTTCTTTGCTAAAAACAAAATCTTAAACTTGAATGCAAATATAACTACAGCAACTACACATATCCAACAATTTAATAAGTTTGTTTAATGCTTATTATTATTTTTTTATTCTTATTACATTTGTAATTTTAGGAATAAAAAAACATATGCTTATTAAGATATAATTATTATGTTTTAATTAAAAAAATTATATTTTTTTCAATTGTTTGATTCACATGGTACGATATAAAAAAAATTAGTTTATTATTTAGATTGAATTTAATTTTTAGCTATTTAACAAAGTACTTAAAATTAGCCGTTTTCAAGCATCATAAACAATTGCAGCAACATTGTTATTAAATATATTACTCTCAGTTGACAAAAATAAGCAAACATTATTATCATTTATTAATTTTGTAAATATATTGTGAAATTTCTAGCTCGGGTTTTTCCACTACTTATTCATTATTATTTTTTTTTCTTTTGAGACTAAAAACAAAAAATAAATAAAAACTTTAAAAGTCTAAGATATGTGTAAACAAAATTTCAACTTGTAATTGCAAATTCAAAAAACAAGGTGTTTTTAAATAGCAAATAACAATAAAATTACTTACTTCAATAGTTTTAATAGGAGCTGCTAATTCGTTAGGAGTTAAATTATCGAAACCCAAGTAATCTGCCATTATTGAAAGAAAACAAATGCACGTTTTTCTTGCTGTTTACAATCGGCAGAGGAGGCAATTGAAAATAGAGATGAAATGAACTTTCCGCATCAGCGCATATTGATATTCTGGTATTATTAACAGTGTTGCGATAAAAAACTATTCATAAAAGATAATGCAGATTTAGGCTCAACCGACAGAAAAATTTTATGCTGGTTTCTTTCGACTAATTTTTATTTTTCGCAACTTTTTATTGTGTACAACTAACAATAATCAAAATTCAGTGCTTTGATAAAAATGTGTTTAGAGCTCGCATGGAAAATTTGATAATGAATAATAAACTAATGACAACGATTTATTTTCTAATTTTTAGATAAGGTTTTTAATAAATTTAACACTTTTCGAAATTTTGAGACTCAATGAGAATCGTTTTAAAAACTTAAATTTTTGTGAACAATACTTAAACGTTGCGCGCGCCACCGTGCTACAATTTATATTTTTCTGACGTAATCAACAACATTATGGGTGATGGATTATTTTGGATGTGTAGCAGTGCGCAACAATGCCATTGCCCCGGTGCAAGATGTTATTGTTGACAGGCTTCGCATTTACTGAATTATTTAAAACGGGGTAGTTAATTAATTATATGGTTGATGTCTGATATTACTTAAAATGGATTCTAGGGGAGATGTGTGCGTGGTGTATCGGATGAAGTTGCCTCACTTTGTTATTCCATGAAGGAAAATCGATAAAAGTAGGTCCAACCAAAACAACGTTAAAATAAAAGCAACCTCATTATGCGAATGAGATTAATGGGATTAAAAATAAAATTATATTGCGCATGCGTGTGCTATTCTATAATTTTTAGTTTTTCAAGATGGATGCCGTGATATCGAGTATAGTTCATATGGATAATATAGTAGAAAATAATAACATAATACAGCCGGACAATGCTAAAACTCGACAGGCGACCAGGTATGGGGTGAGACTGTTCCGTGAGTACTGTGTACAGCATGGTGTGGATGCGATCAACAATTTACCTCCGCGTGAAATAGCTGCTATGTTGAAGGGCTTTTATGGGCAAGCTCGTACTAAAGATGGCCAAAGATTTAGTGTTAATTCATTGATTGCAATAAGGTACGCAATTAGTCGGTACTACAGATCGCCCATGGTACACCGAAAAATAGACATTGTGAAAGATAGTGCTTTCAACGATGCCAATGAAACTTTCCGAGCTGTTTTAAAAGATTTAGAGCGAGAATCGCGAAGTTTAACATGTCAAAAAGATTTACAAATGGTGGATATGGACGATCGTAAGAAATTAAGGCACTATTTTGAACACGCTATCAGTACACCGAGGGGACTTCTCCAGAAAGTGTGGTACGATCTGATGTTGAGGGTGGGACGAAGGGGTAGAGAAAGCCAACGCTCCCTGAACAGGACTTCCTTTAGGATCTCCAAAACAACGGACGGCAGGCAATACATTTACCAGGTACATAATTTTATTTTTTTCTCTCATATTTACTTAGATTATAGGAAAAAAAACATTAGTATCTAAAGAACGGAAAAATATATTTAGCTGCAAAATAAATAAAAATTATTTATAGTCTTATTAATAAATAAAAAAAGAACTGTTTACAAAATAAATAAATATCATTTTTTAGTAAGTGAAACAATTTTTTTATATAATCGGTTAAAGGTAAATAAAGATTGCAGAAAATAACATTTTTACAAAATTAAATAACTTAAGTTTTGAAAAAAGTAAGCATAATTGGAAAATCGTGTGTTAGTTTAATTAATAAATTTAAGCAACTAAAAAGTGGGAAAAATGAGCACAAAAATCATAAATTAATTTCATTAATAAACAACCAAAATTTTTACATAGATGAAAATTATTTAATTCTCCAGAAATAAGCAAGTAAACAAAAAAAAATCCCTGAAAATAGTTAAGCATAAAAGAAATTCAATTTATTTTCATTAATAAGTTCAACAACAAAAAAGTAGAAATAAATAAAAATAATTTATTACCTTTATTAATAAACTAAAGAGTTGAAAAATGTTAGCATAAATAAAATAAAAAAATATTTAGCTACAAAATAAATAAAAATCCTTTCTTAGTTTTATTAATAAATAAAATAATTAAAGACTGGAAAAAGGAGTGTTTACAGAAAAAATAAATATCATTTCATGGTTTTATTAGTAAGTGAAACAATTAATGAGTAGAAAAATAGTATTTAAATTATTTTAAAAATTCATTAAGTTTCATTATTAAGAAAAACTTCAAAAGGGGAGAGATTTCCTTATTGTGATCTGTTTGCAGCCCCCCCCCTCCTCCTTAAGAAACTGTAGGGGAAAAACATCACAGAAAGAGACCAACTCAAAGGATATAACTCATAGCCACTCCTGGGCAAACCTCCAAGTTTTTTTTTTTTTTTAAATAGTTTTTTCTGTTTAAAACAGGGCTAAATAAAAACTTTTTTTTTTTTTTTTTAAATAAAGCTTAACTAATGAGGATTTTTTTGAGGTTTAAATTTTTTAATATAAAACATGGTATATACTATTAGTATACAATTTTATTACATATAGTATATAATTTTATTACGAAATCTATAACAGCATACAATGTTAATATTAGAAGATTTGTCAAACATAAATTTTATTTTAAAAAGCTTAACAAATTAAATTATTATACTGCTTTATTTCATTTTTAATTAGATGAGGTACAGCCAAAAGTGTTTCTCAACTTCAATTAATTAATTTTATTTTATTTAAACTCTGTTCTAAAGATATTTTAAAATATAGTTTGGGTGATAAGTAAAAGACAGTTCTATCAGAAAAACACCCAATATTCTTTACAACCTAGTAGGTCTTTTTTCATTTTTTACATTTTAGGTGTGCCCATTATCAGCATACAAAAAGTGAGATGGTCTTTAATTATTACTTATCAGTGACACAAAATTTTTAATTTAAAAAGTAACACAGAACCTAAACTTAAACCAACCAAACAATGGAAATCTAAGTCCATGTGGTGAGAAAAATATTGAAAAGAGCCTTTCCATTTTTTAGCTAATATGCTGAATCTGAAATACAATGGTAAAAGCCTTGCTATATTAAAAATATGCATGAGAAAAGAGGCAGAGGATTGGATTTCTAAGAAAAAATGTTGAATGGCTAATTCTAGTTCTGTGTTTCAGAATAAAAGATCAAGTGTGTACCCACTAGAGTTGGGTTTTTGATGTCAAACTAGTTCTTGACATGACTGTCAAAAACCAGTCAAAAAGTGTCAAAAACCTGGGGCAATTTTCCTTTCTTAACATTGGAGACATTTTAATACATACTATAATTATGGTTTATATTATTTATTGTATTTTAAAAATATTGCAAAAATTTATTTAAACTATTAATTGGTTTTTCGATTGGTAATCTTAATAATTTAAGACCTATGTAACTATTCGATGTGAAACAATTAAACAAAAGCTTACACTATTGTCATATCAAAAAAAAGAGAAAGTAACTCAAAATATTTATTATTAAGAGAAGGAGGAGGATCTTTGCAGAAATGTGCACATTTTGAAACCCATCTCAGAAACGGAAAATACAGAAAGCAGTTTAAAAGACACTTATTTTGTTAGATTAAACAAAAAACTATTATTAAGTAAATGTAGTTATACTTTAGTAAAGTGTACAAGCATTCCTGTCCATGTCTCAAATTAAAAAAAAAAAAAACATTTTTAAATAAAACTTAGGTGATTATTATTTACCCGAGAAACAGAGTGATTGTGAATTACCCCGGGTCACCCTAAATTGTTTGCCAATAATTATCTGATCTCAACATATATTTTTTTAAAATTGATTCTCAATATTTATTCTTATTTTAATATAATATTAATTAAAATCAAATTTAAGTGAGCAGAATATATCTGACCAGGTGAACAAGGCTTTGGAGAAAATTCAGCTGCCCTGGGAAAACTTTTGGTCCAAAACAGTTTTATCCTACAAAATTTTTTGTTGAAAATTTTTCACTTTGCAAAACTTTTTTTTTGTTAAAAAAACGTATGCCAATTTGTCTATTTGTTAGTTTGAATTCCTTTAGTTAATAAGTGAGATCTTAAATTTAATTGAGTAAATTATTACTGTTTCAATTTCTATTATTTTTTAACACCTATGCTCATTTATTCAAAAATTTTGTATAATCAAATTAATTTTTTTCTTATACAAAGCATGGCTCTCACGGTCCTTAAAAGTCCTTATAAACTGCTTATTTTTTTTTTTTTTTTTTTTNTTTTTTTTTTTTTTTTTTTTTTTTTTTTTTTTTTTGGAAAATAAGGAGCCCTTAAAAGTACTTAATATTGGTACAATACAAGTTTTTTAAAATTCCTTAATTTTTCAGTATCACTATAGTTGATCGGAAGAATTTTTCAGTACAATTTTTTTAAACGAAAAGTCAATCTTTTATCACTTAGAATTAGACTATTCATCAAGGGTAGAGCATAACAAAAATTATTTCCTAAAATCTTGAAGAATTCAATAAATTGGTATAATATTTCAATGTGTAATAAGTAACTGTAAATTTATAGAAAGCAGTAACATTTTTTAAAAATTCATGATTGTGCTAAAAGTTAAACTGATCTGTAATAAACAGGGTTTGAAAAATCCCAGCCCGCCTAGGTTTTTTTAATCAAAAACCAGGGTTGGAGTTTTGGACAGGACACATGGGTTTTACTGTCTTAAACTGGGTAAAACTGTCCTAAACTGTCTTAAAGTGTCTGAAACCTTGAACTTTGGTAAAAGGTAAAAGTTCTATAGGTGTAACCATTCTACACAT